CAAATTATGTATTGATTAACATGTGGATATCAAATCTTCGGAAGAAGTTATAAATTCAGTTAAAAAAAAATAATATGGAATGGGCATGAAAAATGAAAAATAAATCTTTAAAGATAGCTTTTTCTGAACTTTTGATATATATAATATAATAATTAAGATCTAGTTTGCTACATCTGGTGATCTGTTTATTTGGCAATAGCCATGGCAGTCAGCAGTGTTTTAAGAACATCCGTTGTTCGACCTGCTAGTCAAATGCGTTTTGTTAAAATATACCTTTTCACTGTTTTGGTCTTGGAAAATGTTGTTTGTGCTGTATTTAGACCCCTCTACCAAAAAACTTGATTTGCATGCACACGTATAAAAATTGCGGATTTTATCAAACGCAATCATAGGTTTGAACGTTGTTTTCAATTTAGACTTGTATTTATTATATCCCGTTCTAGATAGTCAAATCTGATCCCTTCCAAGGCAAGGCGAAAAAAACTTAACCCCATTTCAGACAATTTAGCTGAAAATGCAATCCCGTTTGTCGGAACATACCCGGTATCATATATATAGTGTTTTTTCATCAAATTGGGGATCAGAATTTTTTTTCAGGAAAAAACTATTACCCCCCCCCCCCCCCCCCCCCCCCTTTTGAAGTTAAATGGTCGTTTCATAATGGAACGAGTGAAAAACAACCTTCATATTCCTGACTTGGTATATTCAAGAATATGGTTGTTTTAACCGTGTTGTAAATGTTATTGCGACATATACAGCAAGAAAAAAAAATATAAGATTGGTATTATAGATTTAGAATTTTATTTGATTACAACTTTTCTATCTTATTTTACACATAACTCACTCATTCAACTTTTCTATTCGTTTGACAATGTATTAGAAGAAAATTTTGATACTACATGACAATCCCGTTTTTAAATGATATTTTAATTTATTTTCATTATTACTATTTACAGTTGTTGGTCTTGGTATACGAGAACCTATATCCCAATTTGCAATATTGGGATTATATTCCGTCATGCACATCTACAACTCTGTAAAGTTTCATTAACATCAGCCAAACCGTTTAGGTCAGTTGTTCTAACAAGAAATATGCTGTTTATCACCCCATCCCCCAAAAAATGTTTTCGGGGTATATGAAAAAGGCAGCCGACAAACAGCTGTCTACAAACAAAACACATGAAAAACTAAATTCACCCAAAACCAGCTCGGAATGAACTTGTCCTGCAGAAGGAGCAGCAGTCCATTATTGGGCACCTGTCGTTTAGTTTAAGTTCGAAGGTAGGTCAATCTGTGATGGAAAGGAAAATGGGAGTGTGGCTATGAAATGGGTCATACCCCAGGTAATCAAATATTCTATTAAATCAATTTTGGTTTCAGGTGGATAGTTGTTATCTTTAAAATCCTTGGTAAGAATGGTAGCATGAAAAGCAACACCTGTGTTGGCTAAGTGTTTCGGTTCGGTCCCAAAGAGTATGGTGATCAGACCGTAATCCTTGGCAAGTAAAGATGGAAAATCTACCACGATTGATGAGGAACTTATCCTTAATATTTATCTTTTTTAGAAGAACATTAAAATCAGAAAAAATGCAAAGAAAAACCTTATAATTTTAAAACGTATGAAGTGGTGTGCCAGAGATCAATTACTGTATATGATATGCATTGATGTAACGAAATAAAGATTGTCAACTGTTAGTATATTTATTTATTCATTTTCTATATACTTATGTTTATTATAGTTTTGTTCCAGAGAAGCTAGTTCGGATGTACTGGTTACTTTCTATGTAGTTTCCTCCATTAATTACTCCAATTCGGGCATACACAACATCGCCTCTGCTTAGCAACAAAGGTGTTGCTGTAGTAGAATGACTCCTCAACAAAGCTTGACCAGTTGTAGCTGAATCGGGAAATCCAATGTCTTTAACCACGCCGTTAAGCACCAGTTGCATGACTGCATATGATTTGAAGTATACTCCAGTCGAGACATGGAAGAGATAAAGACCGTCTGATGGAGCCGTGAATTTGCCATTATTTTTGTTGTATGCGTTCCCTATATTTAAATCCACACGATCATAAACCACGATTCTGTGTCTCAAGTTTGAGCCAGTGCCCAGATTGCCACTTCGGTAAGCATAGAACGCCACTGGTTTTGACTTCTCTTTTAGTGCTGTAAAATGTTTTAAAATTTATATCATTTGCTCCGTAGTGGAAAATATTCGCAACTTTCCAAATAAAAACTAAAATGAAAGAATAATAAAAAAAAATGTGTGCTAATATTTAATTAATAAAAAATGTAAATGAGGTGAAACAGATTTTAACACATTGAATAAATGGATTAACCTTTAAAGATATCAGTACAAGTTAAAATCGTAGATTTGAGTTAAACATGCGTTCTGCATGTAAATTGGAAAAGGTCCAATGAAACCTTAGATCCCCTATCATAGAGCACTACAATGCTAGTAATGCATCATATTTATCCTCTTTTTTATGTATGTCATTGATGATGACACCGTTTGCCAGAAAACTTCGATACTTGGTTGTATTTTTTTCATCACGGAGTTGACCATACATACTATACTGTCATTTCACCTAGACAATTCTTGTGGGAGTTATGGGACTTTTGCATATTTTTTACTATTGTATCACACAATGCACACTATAGCTGTAAACGCAACTCGTCGGTGACCTTTTGACAGAAAGCTTTCCTCACTCATTGGTTTTCTAAATAATGCTTTGTAGAACTATTTCTTTTTCATTGTTCGTCTTTAGAATTTTAAAATAAATCTTAAGGGGGAAATACACAACTTACTACTAGTGGGGAGAAATACGATCACAGCCATAGACAAGACTAGTCACGGTCATTACCATATGTCAAGTTCTGAATAATTTATAGTGTTTCTAATGAAAATACAAAGGAATATGTCACTGCTCTTTACTCTTTGTTCAATGTTCTCTTTTTAAGTAGAGAAATCAACAATTATACTAAAAAAGCATGTAAACCGGATAAATAACCGATTGATAGAAATTTGAAATAAATTTAGTATCTTCAAGAAGTTTGAGAAAATCTCGTTTGCTTCAATTTAACACAATAAATTCGTTCAGTAAATTCATTTAACAATAAGTTCTAAATTTCAAAAAAGGGGGATTTATTCAAAGTTCCGTTCCCTGTTGAAATCGCAATAGTTTGAAGAAAAAAATCGACAATTGATAAAAACACGAATTTACCTTCAATTTCCTTTTTTAATTCGATTATCTCAGTGTGGTCCGATGTCAATCCCCAATCACATACATAAGCATAGCGACAGTTGTGTCCAGAAACATGTCTTCCCGACAGTAGTACAGAAATACAGATGGAAGTTGCTACATGTAATAACAGCATCATTTTTCTCACCGTAACGTTCAACTCACAGTGAATTTTACAGGAAACCTGAATAGATAGTAATAGGCAACATCTGCACTTTCCACACAACATTGCGTGACAACACGACTTTCATATTCTATGTGAAGGATGTAGATCCTGTAACAACTTGAATAGTCTAACTACTGCATTGGTCTTGGGCCATTCATCTTTTGGAGCTTGAACTAATATACTAACAGTTAGTATAATAATCCCAGGCAGGAATAGATTTTTTTGGGACAAACCAAATGGGCATGGCTATTTGTTCAACAACATACAGGACATGTTTCTACTGGATGTTCTGGTTTTTCTTAACTAATCTTTAATACACACAATTTTTAATTTCATTGCTAAAACTCATTTCTTTTTTTTCCAAGAAATTTGAAACCAAAAATTTGAACCAACCAATTAGTTAAAAAAAAGACAAACCATCTTCAACAACGACTGGTCTGAATGAAAGCTGTCACCGAACATCACAATATTCTATCTCTGTAATAGCTTCCAAAGTTGACTTACATGAGAAACCTCAAATCTGTAGTTTTATATCTGCATTCCGAAAATAAATGTTCAACTTCACATGTCTTGTATTATTCTTATTTATCGTAAATTATCAACAACAAGCATCGGTGGTCTATTTTTCTTAATTTCTGTATTCTCCAATTGTTTAGGGATTGTTCTCTTTATCTTTAAAAATAACGCTTATTCTGTAAATTTCTCAACGGGAAACGATTTTACTGTCAAAATTTATCTGTACCCATATATGCTTTCTTTATTTTGTACATCATATCTGTAATCAGTATTGTACGTAAATTTACCTAATTATTTTATGTTCCACAGTTATTCTTTATACTTTTAAACCCCATTTTTCTCTATTCCTTATACTTTTGTCATTTTTTCTCTCATATTCAGTATTTCTTTTTTGTCATTGTATTCTAAAAGAATGTGAGTAAATATGTCTATTTGTATAACATGCATTATGTACAATGTATAGCTAGAAAAAATGCGGCGACCCTAATTATTTCATGTCACGTTTACTATGATTTTCTGTCATTTAGTTTCCTTTCTATTCACAATTCCCGTATTTAATCCTTACAAAATTTGTCAATTTTTCACGACATGAAGCACGAAAAAACAGACTCTGTGATATGTATATTTTTTTTTATTATATTTGAAAATATAGCTCAAATAGGATAAATTAAATTACATTTTGTTATCTAAGAATGGCAAAAATATGAACAGATTCTAGCAAGTTTTATATCCCGTACTGCCTTAAAATCAATAAAAAAGCGAAGCTTCGTTGAAGACCCATTGGTGGCCTTCGGTTGTTGTCTGCTCTTTGGTCGGGTTGTTGTCTGCTCTTTGGTCGGGTTGTTGTCTGCTCTTTGGTCGGGTTGTTGTCTCTTTGACATATTCCCCATTTCCATTCTCAATTTTATTTAGTAAAGAAATGATTTATGGAAATGGTTATAACATCTATGTATACATTTATGATTATAAAAATGATTTGTAAATAGCATTGTCCATAGTATCTAATTAGTCTATACCTCAGGTCTATACATATGATCACATGAACTTGTTATATAAAGCGGTGAGGTTGCAAGAGTTATCTCCACCTACAAAGTCTTCAATGTTGGAATCGCTAAAGTGTGTTGACAACACCACAACAAAAAGAAAGAATTTGGCAGAAAAAAATAACGATAACACAAGTAAATTTAAAATCTATTTATAGCATAAACACATGAAAAAATCTGCATTATATTGTTGTTTCACAAAACAAACACAAAGGCTTTATTGTAAACCTTGCTTTAGAATTTTGTCTATCATCAAGGGTTGACCTGACAAAAAAGACTATTTTGATTGACCTACATTTGATCCTCTTTTTCTTTATAATTCCTTGTACTTATGGGTTAGAATTTTTCTTTGACATGGTAAGGTTTTACAGTATGGTTAAGGCTAGTTTAGTAGATCTTTATGGGTTGGGAACAAAGGCAAAGGGCAGTATTAGAGGTATTCTGTGTCATTTGGTCTCTTGTGAAGAGTTGTCTCATTGGCAATCATACCACATCTTCTTTTTTGTATTCACACTTTTGGTATTAAGCTGAATTGTCTCTGAATGACCCTAAACATGAAATTTGTTAGACATGTATTAAATTATTGGATGTTAGAATGATGCATCATGGAATAGCATAATTTCTTGACACATGGTGTGAAATATTTATATACACCTTATCGCTATTTCGAAAGCTGTCCTGCTTGAACTTTTGACGTCATACAACGTCATGCAACAATCACTTTTCCATTCCACTTTTGTGATGTCCAGTAATGGCGGACAAATAGCGATAAGGTGTATTGCCATGAATTTATTGATAATTATTTTGAATGCATAAAAAAAAATGCAACTTCACCGTATCGCTATTTGTGCACCATTACTCTGGGAACAGTATATCTAACGGGAAATGAATCTGGTAGGCTTTTCAGTAAAAAAATGATAAAATCCCAAATTTTAGGAGACTTCACGAGATTTATGGTTTTTCGAACCTTCTGACTGAAAAATCATCAGAACTACTCAATAAATTTACCACATAATTCCAAATGTCAACAAATACAAGTTTTATCGTCAAGTAGATATATTTTGTCAATATAAAATTACCAATATAAGTGAGATTTAGTTGATGTGAAGTGTTTTATAATGGTTTGTGAAATTTGTGGTTACTGGGAATGCCATCATTGCCATTTTTCTATTACCCCTTTTGCATTCTGTACAGTTCCCTTCTGTGATTACATGAATGCTATTATGACAAAATTGAAGTGACATATTTTATTACAAGTTCGATACACTGGCATCACTTATTACTTAGTTTAAATGACATTTAATTGATACTATCAGAAATTATTAAGATAATAGCGAGTAAGTATTTTACACATGTCCGTTTCCATATTGTGTAATTCATAACTATGACGATAAAATCGGCTATAATTAGGAAGTGTTAAGTCCTGTCAATATATATGTTCCTGCATTACTAGACATCACAAAAGTTCAAATTGAATTTTGACGTCGCAAGAGAAAATGTCTGATGCAGCAAAGGATATATGAAACGTCAATAGTTCAAGTGTCTCAAATTATCGGAAAAAGTGTCGCAGCTGTTGTGAACGTATTTTGGTACATGATAGTTGTACGGTATTTAGATAAAGCGTTGTTTAGTCAATTTAAAACTATAGTATTGAAGTGATCACGTTGGACTTTATTAGTTTTTATACGACCGCAAAAAATTTTTGCAGTCGTATATTGGTATGACGTTGGCGTCGTCGGCGTCGTCCGAAGACACATTGGTTTTCGCACTCTAACTTTAGTTTAAGTGAATGGATCTCTATGAAATTTTACCATAAGGTTCAATACCACAAAAGGAAGATTGGGATTGATTTTGGGGGTTATGGTACCAACAGTTAAGGAATTAGGGGCCAAAAAGGGGCCAAAAATAAGCATTTTTGTAACTTCGAGACATAACTTGTGTGTTAGTGTATGGATCTCTCTGACATTGTACCACAAGGTTCCATATCACACAGGGAATGCTGGGATTAATTTTGGGGGTAATTGCCTCAAAATATTAGGAATTAGGGGCCAAAAAAGGGGTAAAAAACAAGCATTTTTTTAGTTTCATGACAATAACTTGTGTGTAAGTGTATGGATCTTTCTGAAATTGTACTACAAGGTTCCATATCACAAAGGGAAAGCTGGAATTGAGTTTGGGGGTAATTGCCCAAAACGTTTAGGAATAAGGGGCCAAAAAGGGGCCAAAAATAAGCATTTTTCTAGTTTCCAGACAATAACTTGTGTTCAAGTGTATGGATCTCTCTGAAATTGTACCACAAGGTTCCATATCACACAGGGAATGCTGGGATTGATTTTGGGGGTAATTGCCTCAAAATATTAGGAATTAGGGGCCCAAAAAGGGGCAAAAAACAAGCATTTTTCTAGTTTCAAGATAATAACTTGTGTGTTAGTGTATGGATCTTTCTGAAATTGTACTACAAGGTTCCATATCACAAAGGGAAAGCTGGAATTGAGTTTGGGGGTAATTGCCCAAAACGTTTAGGAATAAGGTGCCAAAAAGGGGCCAAAAATAAGCATTTTTCTAGTTTCCAAACAATAACTTGTGTTCAAGTGTATGGATCTCTCTGAAATTGTACTGGAAGGTACCATACCACAAAGGGAAGGCTGGTATTGAGTTTGGGGGTGACGAATCATAAGGGGGTTAAAAAAAATTGGGGGGGGGGGGGATTTTTTTTTTTTTTTTTTTTTTTCTTTTTTTCCTTTTTTTTTCTTTTAAAATTTTCCATTTTAAGTTGGTTATTTCTGTTTTATATTTAAAAGCAAATAATAATGATTTGGTAGGAGATACACACCAAACAGGATGTGTAAATTATTATAAAATAAGTATTGTGCAATAGCAAGAAATTTTCAATTGCACAGTATTGCACAATAGCAAGAAATCTTCTATTGCACAGTAATGTGCAATAGCAAGAAATCTTCAATTGCACAGTATTGTGCAATAGCAAGAAATATCCAATAGCACAGTATTGCGCAATAGCAAGAAATCTTCAATTGCACAGTATTGTGCAATAGCAAGAAATATCCAATAGCACAATATTGCGCAATAGCAAGAAATTGTCAATTGTACAGTATTGCGCAATAGCAAAAAATATTCAATTGCACAGTATTGTGCAAAAGAAGATACTTCGTATAAATTGCTTATTTCTTGACCAATTTCAATGGGGTTTTATTCTTGAATTCTTGGGGTTCTTTAATATGCTGATTCTAACCGTGTATTAAGTTTTTAGATTTTGGGCCCCGTTTTTAAATTGGTCCACATTGATTTCCAAAGGGTCCAAAATTAAACTTAGTTTGATTTTAACAAAAATTGAATTCTTAGGGTTCTTTGATATGCTGAATCTAAACATGTATTTAGATTTTTGATTATGGGCCCAGTTTTCAAGTTGGTCCAAATCGGGGTCCAAAATTAAACTTTGTTTGATTTCAACAAAAATTGAATATATGGGGTTCTTTGATATGCTGAATCTAACCATGTATTTAGATTTTGGATATTGGACCATAATAGTTGAATGTCCAATTTAAAATTTTTAAGTCCTAGACCACATTCATTCTGTGTCAGAAACCTATGCTGTGTCAAATATTTAATCACAATCCAAATTCAGAGCTGTATCAAGCTTGAATGTTGTGTCCATACTTGCCCCAACTGTTCAGGGTTCGACCTCTGCGGTCGTATCAAGCTGCGCCCTGCGGAGCATTTTATTTATAATTGCTCAAGTCTGAGAATGTTAATTAATTAGAAATGCATACTTTTAATAAATTCACCAAAGTTTATTACGGGCCTGCATGTATGAGTTATCCTTTCTTGAATGGTTAATATTTCAAACTAGGAATATTTCACGAATAACCCATTTAATGTGTGTTCATTGTTGATTGAATATTGTAAATATTGTATGATAAATTATCTGAATTGACTTACATTAGTCTGTGTAGTATTTTAGTTACTTTCAGTTTCCTATTGATATAAATTCCGTGAGTTTATTGGTTTTACGGGAAAAAGGGCATGGTTTGACATAATCCGTAACTTTGGAAAACAAACTCGTAAGCAAAATTTGACTTTTCAGCTGATTGGATGTTTTTCTGATAGCAAAGCTAAATTGGGGATTCATTTTGATCAAATATTTTTTTAGCGAAAGCTTGTTTAAGTATGTATGTGTATTTTATTTACAGAGTTCCAGTAAATATTTTGTCATAAAACGGTGAACTCCGTGACTGATATTTTCTGGAGTCTGGGTCAATATTATTCAAAACTATTTATATTTGGCAACCTATTGATATTCTATTGATATTTATAACTATTTCAGCGTTTATCTTAAATTTGACGCAGATTATTTGATTAATTAGTTGTTGTAACTTGCTAAATTGAGATTGATTGTAATATTCTATGTTTTCATGAAAGTCTGGAGAAATAATAATAATTTAGAAAGCAGAGACTTTTTATTTTCATTTTGAATAAATAGTTTTGACAAACTGCTTGCAAAACACACACATTCAAAATACAGCTCCACAAATAGTGATAAGGTCTATTTTGTATTCACAATCCTTTTTAGACCCTTTATTATAATTGATTGAAAATTTTTGTGAATCTTCACCCTATAATACATTGAGTAACTCCTATTTTTTTTTTATTTGAATTTTATTTAAAATTTTATAGAAACTTAATCATATGATACTGTTTTGCACCTCCTACATGTATTTTGTTTGTGATCTGAATTATCTGTTTCCTAGAGCAGATCATGGACTTTGCCATTGTTTTATCTGAGGGGATTCCCATTTTGAATCTGCAACTCCTAAATCGCTTAATAGAATTTATTGAAACTTTCCCAGAATGTAAACCTTCTAAAGTTGTGCACCTTCTAATTTTTTTTTTGGATGAACTATTTTGTTTCCTTTGAAAATCATGGACATTGCAACTAGGAACAGTATATCTATATATATTTTTATGCCCCCTAGGGGCATTATGTTTTTCGGTCTGTGCGTCCGTTCGTCCGTCCGTCTGTCCCGCTTTAGGTTAAAGTTTTTGGTCAAGGTAGTTTTTGATGAAGTGGAAGTCCAATCAACTTGAAACTTAGTACACATGTTCCCTATGATATGATCTTTCTAATTTTAATGCCAAATTAAGAGTTTTGACCCCAATTTGAAAGTCCATGGACATAGAAAATGATAGTGCGAGTGGGGCATCCATGTACTATGGACACATTCTTGTTCCTGATTGCAAGGAGTGTAGGATAATGGTATCACTTTGTAGGCGTTACTGGCAGTACCTCTAGTTTTTTAAGTGATGTTAGATACTCTTTTTGATGTTTCCAGAGCATAAACGAAATTGTTGCTTTCCTAACATAGAAGATGCTCCCCCTTTTTAGTATAAAATCTGTACAAAATTGATTTCTTTCTGTTTGAGAAAAATACAAACTATATTAAGCAGTAAATTTACATGTACATGTATATCAGTATTTCTTAAACAATTTTGATATTGTTTTTAAGGATGCCAAAGAAAGGTAAAAAAGGAAAGAAGAAAGGAGGGAAAAAGAAGAAAAAGACAGTAGCTGGAGCAGAAGATATTATACAGAGACTTTATAAATGTTATGAAAGAAATTGTGCTCTCACTGATTCCCAGATGTGCTCTGGAATCAAAAAGGCCCTCAAGGCATGTCAAGAAAACACAACAGTTTTAGAAAAGGTACAAAACAGTATCTAGCTTCTAATCAAATCATAAAGATAATCAATGCTGGTGACAACAGCTACTTAAACTAACACTTTCAATATTATTAATATTTGAGGTGTTAGTCATTGTAGTGGTAGATTTTAGGTTGAAAGAAATTATTATTTTCTCAACCTTATGCATGCATATTCATTTAAAAAGTTTAGGAAAGAATTTCTTTAGATAATAAAAGTAAGATGTTGAAAATTTCTGCTGAGTGCATGATTTCAGAATTCTATACAGCTAAGACATCTACAAGATGCTCAGGGCTTTGGATTCTTTCAAAAATGTCAAATTTAAAACATAGTCTTCATAGGAAATATTCCATTGGTAATGGGCACTTCTTATATCCAGATAATGTTTTATTGATACAATTTGCTTTGAAATAACTTTTTTGTAATACCTCCAGACACGATCTGTCAATATATACAACCAAGAGGTTAATTTCTTTTTATACTTAAAGTTTTGTTGCCTTAAAAAAATTGTGTTGCAATTGATAGTGAATTTATTTAAAATTTATGAAACTAAGTGTAAATCAAACTTCAGCAATATTCCAAATGACAATACTCTATTGATTTTGTTTTAGTTCATCTTTGAAGCAGGAATACCAGAAAATGAAGGTGATTTACCAGTATTGATAGAACCTGTACTAGCTGCCATTAGACAGGATAGATACATTTATATAAGAGATTTGCATATATGGGAATATCCTATGTCCATTGAAAATGCTGCGACTCTGGTAAGAGAAAAACCTTGAACATTTCAAATTGTTTATTTATTTTATTGTGTGTGAGAGCCTCGTGGGTAGTAATGGTCGTTAAACACATAAAATACTGGGTAAAAAAAAAACATGATATATAAAATATGGTAAAATTTGCACACACTAAAAAGAAAAAAAGACACATTTGTTCATGATTCAATGCTTATTCCTTTACATGTAACAGTCCTTAAGATCCCATTCAAAGTAGGGAATCTTACAACCTAAGGCTAGCATTATATTGATATTGTTATCTGTAATGTTTGTCTAATTTTAGTTGAAAGTTGATAGGAAAAGTTTTATTTATTTTGTAATTTCTTTTTTAGTATTCAAATGTTATTATAATTATTTAATACTCAATACAAAAACAGATCTATTATAAAATGCAAAAAGCTAAAATGAAATTTATACACAGTCAGAATGGATAAAAAAATTCTGAACAAAATGAAATTGGTTCCTGCCTCTTTTTCTCATTCTGTTTATAACTAACAATTGTGAATTTAAGCATAGACAACAATCAAAACATATTTTTTTACAGTCTTATATTTAAATTAGGCTTTATAAGCATATTTTGTTTAATTTTGTCTTGTTTTAGGCCTTACTAATTGAGAGACAGTGCTATCCCATGAGAGTTATAGAATTATCCGACTGTTTGTTAGAACCATATGCAGCTAAGAGACTTTCTCGATCATTCAATATATGTCCGACACTAACACATGTTGTTCTAGATTATAATGAGTAAGTTTAATTCATAGGAATAAATCCATAGGTTATAATGAAAATAAAATGATTTAGTTTTTACCTTAAATGTTTGATAAGTGTTGATGTTTTTCGTTTGACAAACAACATGACTTTCAAAAATTATTCCCTCAGAGAAAAAAAGATGAAGGTTAGTTCAGAAACAATTATGTTTTATTGAAAATTACAGAAAGATCAGAATACATATATACATATGTATTATACTTAGAAAGAACCATTGTCTATGCATAGTATCATTTATTTTCACATTTTTAACAAGTATCAGAAAAATATAACCTGGCTTTTCAAAGCTGGATCTAAAGTAAACTTGGATAAATCTTTTTATTTGTGATAATGAGTATATGTCTGTAAATGTTCACTGCTGCCAAGTTTTAAAAATTTTGATACTTCTGTAACCTGCAAATGTACAACAACACTCCAAAACAGAAAATTTATAAAATGCAAAACGCAAAAAAACGAAATATACACAGAATAGATAAAAAAATACTGAACACATTAATGAAATTGGATCTAAGGATATTTTTCTTTTCTTGCAGATTTGGTGATGAAGGTTGTAGGGATTTCTGTAAAGGATTAGAACAGAATATCACATTGCTTTCATTGAGTATGTGTTATTGTGATCTTACTCCTAAGTCGGGGGAATATATTGGAGATCTTGTATCTAAAACAGCTGTACGGTAGGTTCTTTGATTAGTTATAACAAAAGTATACACATAACAAAAACGTAGAAAAAGAAAATAGTTTAAGATAAAATTTAAATTCTTTATACCAGAAACTAAATTAAACAAACTGAACATTTTGGAAACATTTTCTGCATGCATTCTTCTGAAAGTCACAGGTTTTCAGTGCTTATTGTCCATCACTTTAACTTATAGAAGAATATCTTCATTATATGACTATGTGACAAATTGACAATGAATACTTATTTACATGTTGTGATTAGATTTTAGTAGTTCTTAGAAACTGCATGTATGAAAACTGTGCAAGAAAATGCTGGAATATTTCCTATGCAGTATTTAATGAATGACTATAAATAAAGAAAATTGAATTTGATTGTACTTAACTGTTCCTTAGGGTTTACATTTTCTTTTAAAAAAATTGTAGTGAATTGTATTTGAACGGAAACAATCTTGAAAGTGACGGAGCTATGAAAATAATTAAATTATGTACAGAACAAGCAGAATATGAGGCTATCAGGAGAGCAGAGGAGATAAAAAGGAAAGAGGAAGAAGAGGCTGAAAAGGCTGCTAAAGGTTAGAAAATACATTGTATTCAGATTTGCCCAAGTTAGAAAACAAATTCTTGATACATTAGCATTACCCCATGAATAACTTATCTAAAAAATATTTGTATGTAAAGATTTGGTGTCAAGGGAATTAAAATTATCAGTAATTTTGATTTTTTTTTTTTTTTACATTAATACATATTCAGTACTTGTCTAAAGTTTTGAAATGACACTTTGTCTATTCTGACTTTTGGATTTGTGATGGTGCCCCTACCTATGTATCTGACACATAAACTTTTTACTGTCAATCAATGGTGTCAATGTAATCCTTAATTTCACATTGTAATTATAACATTTTATGTGATCCCAATCACAATTTAAAAAAAATTATCTGAAATAATAATTTAAAATGTTATTTTGCCAAGTGTCAATATTTATAGCAGCTGCACATTTAAAAACTGACTTGTAAGTACTCTTGTAATTCAATGAAGAAAAGTTGATAATAAATCAAAACATAACCAGAAAATAATAAAAATTTTGCAGAAAAAGAATTGGGATACAGATCTGGTGAGATGTCAGCTTCAGACAAAGAATCCACTCCAGGATCTGGAAAAAAGAAAAAGAAAAAAGGTAATACATTAGTTATTGTTTAGTGTGATAATACAGATGAAAAAGATTGCATTGGACATTTAAATACAAGGTATATTGGCAGTGAGGTTATTCACACTAGAAAAGATTCTTATTTTAATATGGCATTAAATACAATTTAGACAAAAATTTTAAATAGGATATTTTTGCTTCAAGTATTATTGAAAGCGGAATTTTGAAATAATTTTTGGTAATAAGCAGTCAGTTTGCCCTGAATTTGTCAAAATAAGCTCAAAAACATAGCTGATGTATTATTGACTTGCAAGTCAATAATTCAACCACATGTGAATCTGTATTCATGTGACATTCAATTCAACCCCTTAGCTGAAGATAGGTTACACATGTACTAGGCGTGTTCAACTATAAAAAGGAAAAGAATATCAACATTGAAAGAGAAACAAGATTAAACCATTTCTTTTGACTGATTCGATATACATGTAAAAACTATGATTTACATATTTTCATGCCCCCGCTATAAGCAATGGTGGCATTAAGTGTTACTCTTGACTGTCTGTCCTTCTGTCCATCCCATTTTCATTTCCACACTCTCATTTTAGTTTGCCTCATGCAAATTTCATGAAACTCATACACAATGCTAAGAACCATGCACAACACACAGAGTTTGGGTTGTGAGTCATTTACTGGTAAAAAGTTATGTCCCTTTTTAACTTGGAAACTTGCAAAGCTTGAGTGGGGCCATTTGTGTCCTCAAGACACATTCTTCTTTTGTTTTAACCTATAATGTGAAATCAAACAAACATAGAAAAATCCAATTGAACTTGCTTGCTATCTATTTATATTTATTTTTATATCAGGTTATATGACTGTTGGAAGTCATCAAAAGTCATCTAGATAAGATGGTTAATAAGATGGCTTCTAGACTACAATACACACAAAATGCTGATACATATTATCGAGTCCATGCATTATTAATTATTTATTTTAGACTTTTCATGCCTCTGTGACAAAATGTCAAGAATATGTCCAGCTATCTCCTACAGTTTTTGAGCTACACCTTTAATATTTTGTAGGATGTTTCTACACATGAAAATGGTGTGAATGTCCACATGATTTTGATTTTTTTCCAATATTCTCAAAATGCCAGGTATTTGGACTTAAGTCATTTTTTGGTACTAGCTGCATAAAGAGTTCATGGTGTGTCAGGCTATCTCCACCTACAGTTTTTGAGCTTTTATATTTTGTAGCTTTTTGGTACACATAATGGAAGTGTGCAAGTCCACATGATTTTGATTTTTTTCACTTATTCTTAAAATACAAGGTATTTGATCTTAGTCATTTTTGGTACTACCTGCATACAGAGATTGTGGTTTGTCTTGCTATCTCCTCCTACAGTTTTTGAGCTACAGCTTTAATATTTTGTAGGTTGTTTGTACATAAAATCAAGGTATGCATGTCCACAGAATTTTGATTTTTTTCTAATATTCTCAAAATGCCAATTATTTGGAATTTTTTGGTACTCAGAATAAAAATAAAAGATAGATCATCATACATAGTGTTAAATTTATAATTTTTTATGGTCTGAATCAGGTGCATCAAAATATTTTTCAGTAAAAAAGAGTGTTTGAATTTTGGGGAATTTTCAAGGTTATTTTTAACATTTCTGTATAATCTGATATGCCTTTGTCAAAAAATTGAAAGAATAATGACAAAGTAGTATTACCTCATGTTTAATTTTCAGGCAAAAAGAAGAAAAAGAAAGAGCCACCACCTCCACCCCCTGTAGGCCCCTGGATATACAAGTTACACATTAATGACAATGGAATAGATGGACTTGCATTTGGAAAAGAGTTTGCTCCATTGGAATTTATTAGAGAATTGAAAAAGTATATATATTTAACTTTATTTGTTGAATAATGCTTTTAACATGATTTTTAAAACAAAATTATATGTTCGTAACTTTCAAACAGAAAATAAGAATTACTCTGTTTTTAAAGTTTGTATTTCTTAAGTTTTACACAAAAAAAGTTTTTATATTAGGAATAATGATTTGCTGTTATATTGTGTAGTAATAGTAACTTACTAGAACTCTATCCTTGGAATAACTTTTAAATCATGAATGTGTTATAACAGAAATAATCCAAAGTTTTAATTGTTATGAACATTAAGAACTATTCACAGTTTTAAGAAAAATTTTCTACAATCTTTTAACCTATGAACTTTTTCATATAAAAAAAATTTCAACTGTTAGGGCAATTTTTGAATTGTCATGAAATTTCTGTTGGCTTTTAAATTATCCATCTTCATGTTTCAGAAATTAGAATTATAAATCACTTAATATACTTTCAGATTACTCATGCATTCAGAGTGCTTTGAAGAGTTAGATTTAGATGATAACTTGATTGGAGATCTAGGAGGAAAAGAGATTCTAGAGGGATTAGAATACAGAAAAGAAGGTCCATTAAAAAAAAAAATTTTAACTTGCTTAAAATCATTAATTTATCAGCATTCATTTTAAAAATTTACTTTAGGGGAAACTGCACTTTTTGGTTTAGAAATCATTTTAGGAAAAGAGTTAAGCCAGGGTTTGTTTTAAGTTCTGGTTATTTTTAGGGTTTGGGCTAGTGTAATAGGTACAACATTAAAGTTTATATTTGTTCTTGGTTTCTTTGGTAATGAAAGATGAACGCTTTTTAGATTTTAACACATTTATATGAAACATAAAATACAGATCACATTCAATTTGAATTTTTGTTTTGGCATTTACTGTTAGAATTTTTCTGCAGGAGCGGGGATATCTGTGATTAATAGAACACCTTATTCTAGTTTTAGTTTTTATTTATTTTTTGGCTTCCTTTGTACGTTTATTCAGGTATAGCTCTGCACACTTTTTTGTTATCTTTAATAGGAATATTCAGGATAGCTTTACAAATTTATAGACAATTTATAATTTTTTTCAGGCTAAAAAAAGACTTACCGGTAATTTTTTTATAGAAATTGAGATTCAGTTTTCATATTGCATAGGTCCTACATATATTATTCATATAAAAAGTCAGTTCATCTTATACACCCCATTGCAAATATCAGTGCTTATTATAAATTTAATAGATAGTCATTTATATTATTAAACAGAGACAAAACTAGGAGGAGTAAAAGTATTAACTACACACAGAATGAAAACAGATACCTTCAATAGTATTATAAAATTAGGATCAGGATTAAAAAAGAAGAAAAAGAAAGGCGGGAAAAAGGTATCATTAAAATAGTTTTAAAGTTTTAATTCATTTTATAATCAGAGTATTAGACTTGCTTTGTGCTATGTTTTGCTTATTGCAATGTACCAGGTACATAAAAAAAACCAAGATAGAACCAGGTTGTTTGTACAGCTCTACGTACTGTACTATTTATGAAAATAAGAAGATGTGGTATGATTGCCAATGAGACAACTCTCCCCCAGAGACCAAATGGGCACAGATGCGCAATTCATTTCAGGTAGGTTGAGTTCTTTGCATACATTTACTAACTCTATAGTCCTCTGCTCTCCAAATCAGCACAAATGGTTAAGCTCAGTCACTTGTTAAAAATTGAAAGATGTCCAATATCACTACACAGAGTTTTTTTGTTTACGCACAATTTTTGTGTTTCTCATATTGAGGTGCATAAGGGATATTGACCCAAATGACATAGAAGTTAACAACTATCGGTCACAGTACGGCCTTCAACAATGAGCAAAACCCATACCGCATTGTCAGCTATAAAAGGCCCTGTATTGTATATATTTAATCACTGCCACATAAGTGTATATACATTTGGTTCTCATGAAGAAGATACTATTTGAAAAAAGGGAAAATTAGTCTTCAGGTCATCAACAGATGGGGTTGTGAGAGAAGTAGAAAGAGAGATTTTTAAAATCTGAGATTATTAGATTAACATGCAAGTTAATTTTTTATGACTAAAATTCACACTAAAATTTGTACAACATTCTTTGAGAAATAAAAGTATTATTGTCTTTTTTTAGTCTTTATTATTTTTTAGATATATTTTAACTTAAGGTTGTGTAAATACTTTTCAGAAAAAGAAGAAGTGAAAATCTGTCAAGCCTGCTTTTATGAGAGCTAAACTTGATATGCAGTAGTTCAAAGGTCAATATCAGGACCAATCTAATCATGAGATTCTAATCAGCTCATCCTATGTGTTTAGTGTACAAACTGACTAAATAAGATTCTTTAACAGTACCCAACTTTGACAATGTTTCAGACCAATGAAGTTTTTCGTAGTTATTTTGGCTTATGGGGCCAATTACAGACCTCTAACAATTAAAGTTCTGACCTATTCATTCATTCGTGCTTTTATAAAACTTCAAAGCTACACAAAACATTTCTGATCCTTGGTTTCTTATGATAATGTGTATACTTTTAACCAATTTTAATGTTGATGTAACTCAAAAAATGTATGTCTAATCAAAGTTGACCCCAACTCTTGGCATAACAGTGTATGCAATTCCAGGTGTTATTTTTTAAAGGTACATACTATTTATCTTGAGCATTATGTTTTTGCAAAGATTTTATTTATGACCTTATGTCAAATGAAAATGAGTTAGTAAGAAATTGTGAATAGATTAAATATTGTATGCATACATTTTTATATTTATGCTTATGCCAAAAAAGAGTACAAGAGGGTTAAGAACTTAAGACCCCAAGTTAAGAAATATATTATAAAGAATCATTGACATGTAGAAATTTTATAGTTAAAGAAGACTCTACAGTTTCATGGGTAATTTTTATGATTTTTAGATATTTTTTTAGGAAGAGATGTGTTTTCTAAAAAGTCTTAAAATAAAACATAGGTAACAGTACCATTTTCTTCAGAAATGTTACTAAGGGCCCTATTTGACCTAAAAATTGATGTATTACCGAATAAGATATTTGAAATATTTAATTCAATGAACTGCTCATTTCAATTTTTAATTCAATGCTGAATTTTCTTGAGCAGGTGTACAAAATTCAATAGTGCAAATGATGGCTATAATTTCAACAAATTAGAAATCATTATATTCTGGGGTTTTTTTAAGAATGGAGACACTTATCTTTTGTGAGTTATTCTTTAAGTTATTTTGTACTTTGTTCTATTTTTAGAATTTTCATTCCTGCTATAAAATTCTGTTACTACAACGTCATAATGAACTAAACTAGTATCAACTGGACATTTGTTGTTTAATATTATACAAACAGTTATCTCCCCTGAAACTCTATTGACTCCCCTTTATAAGTTTTTGAAACACCTACAACATCCATGAAGAAAAAAGTTCCTCTTTACTCTAATGTATAATGTTTTGTTTTTTTAATTTAGTATCATCTGGATGAATGTGATAGTGCAATGAATCAGAATATTATTAAACATTTATGTACAATTCTCATTGCAATACATATACATTCGTGTTTGTGGGGTTATAGAAAAAATGAATTTAATTTCAAATTGTTTTATTATATTCCGTTTAAAAGAAAAAAGCCTTTTCAACTTTAAAATTTTAGCTCTAAATTTTTCTAGTCATAAAGCAATATAAATGATGTTTTTACTCATTTTACCAATACATGTATAAACATATTGTGTATCATCAAAATTTAGATGTTTAACAAAATTTGTAGATCCTAAACAAAAGATTTTTAGATTTGGGTGCTGGACGAGATAGCTGAATGTTAGGATTACACACATGACTTATGATGACTGTGATCATTATTGATTTTGGTAGTCAATGAGTGAGCATGTAGTATTTAGATGTTTGTTGTTAAGTTACAACACAGCTTACAAGTAATACATGTACCTGAAACTTTTTTGTAGTTACATTTCCCCCCATGTTTTAAGCACATAATGTATATAGCTCTGCTCTTCTGCAATCAAATTAGCATTTGTGGTTTTTTTTTTATTTCATTGTAGCATGGTGTACATGTACATGAATTTAAAAGTCATAATTGTATTATTACCTCTTTAAATAATGCAAAAATATAGCTTTGAGTCATTTTACAGGCTGTATAGCAGTTTCATCTTACACGTTTTTACATCATGTCATCTTTTTTTGTATAGGGCAGAGATGGATTAACAGCTTTAACCCTGGAATTACATTACCTTAAAATGTATGTAGGATGATAAAAGTCTATAATGTCCTTTAACAGCACTGACCATTGATATTATCATCTCATCAAAAACTTCCAAATTTCTGGCATTTTGGAAATTTTGACACCAATGTCAGTTTCAAAAACTAATGATTTTGGAATATAACCTTAGTAAGTCTCACTAGAGATCAAAATATTGATAGCAAAATATGTAAAATGTATGGCCGCATTAAAATCATCATGGATATGAAAGGCAGTCAAAATCTTAAAGGCAATTACATTCCTGTTTGTTTTTATCAATTACAATTCAGTAATATATTACTATAACTGTTTATGGTCAAAATGTATAAGTTATATCATGCAATTACTGAAAATAATTGTTTCCTGTTTTGAATTTTTTTCTTTTTTTTTGAGAATTCAATATAAAAAAGTTATTTTAAATAGGTTATTTCATTGGGACTATATATATTTGTGGTTTTGAGTAAACATGAAATCAACAACAACTGTTATACAATTAATAACAGTATTTTTAGACTACAAGATTTTAAAGGTTTTATTATACATTGTATGTTTATATAGGTTTATTTTTGATAATTGTAAACATGATAATACACATGGACTACTTTGTAATATGTCAGTTGGCTCATCATTAGCTCACCTGGCTCAAAGGGGTAGTGTGAGCTATTGCAATCATTTGACATCTCTTTTTTTAATTCTTGTTCATATAATCTGCAGTTACCTTTTAGCTCATTTAAATTACATAATTCTTTGGACAACCATGAGTCAACCCTAATATTAGTTTCATATAAATAATTTAGTTTTTTATATGAAACAATCTACTGCAGAAATGTTACTCCTGTGATGTTTATTGAGGATTTTATTTTTATTTTGAGTCTACACTGGGACTACACCTCATCCAAATTCTTAAGGTTTATAATAATTTTGGTGTATTTTACATAATAGCATGGTATCCTTGCTTGTTTTCTCCTTTTTGTGTTGCTTAAAAGTTTTTCTCCTGTTTAAACTGTATTTTTTTCAAGTTTTTTCCATTATCAATGAATTGCGTTTCCAGTATATCTGATAATTAAATTGATGTGAATTTATGTAAAATCTTGTTTTTTTCCCTTGTGATCATGCTAGGTAATAAAAGAAATGATTTGATTAAAAACTTAATGGCTAGAACATATATTTAGTTAATAAGCTTTTTAAATTGTGATAAGTGTATGTGTGCCAACTCTGTTTATTTGATAAACACATGTGAATTTTACATATATATATATATTTTATATTATATTTGCATAGATGCATTTATTATTTTAAATTAAAAAACATTGTCAATCAATTATTTGTTTTAACATTTTCATGTACTGTGGATTAATTTCTTTTCATAAAATTCTGTTATGTGGTTTCAAAGGAGTTGCGATGACAAAATGTTGCAGTAGTATATTTAGGCAAAAATTCAAAGAGGCTTAACTCCTAGAAAAAAATAAACTTTTGACACAGAGATATGTCTTGCCTGTCAGCATAAAATTCAGAAAAAGGCAATCTAATGGACAGCAAAATTGCTTATTAATTCAGTTGTATGACCATGATCTAGTGGACATGGCCTGAAAATGGTAGACAAACTGAGATGTACCGACAGTAATGTAACTTTATAGAAAATATATTGTTATCTATTGTGAGTTTTTCCTATCAATCTAACTTGAGCAGAAAACTTATTGAAAATTGCAAAGTCACTGGACCATGTCCTAGGGGGCGGGGCCTTAAAAAAGTTGCCAAAGTGATATGTACTGATACTAATGCAACTTTATACAAAATATCAATGATCTATCACAAGTAGTCCTATCAAACCGACTTAAGCAGAAAACTTGAACATTTAAAATTGCTTATCAATTGAAAGTGGCTGGACCATGACCTGGAGGGCAGGGCCTCGGAATAGTCATAAAACTGATATCAACTGATAGTAATGCAACTTCATACAAAATATCATTTATATATCACAAGTAGATCATATCAAACTAACTTAAGCAGAAAACTTAACATTGAAATTGCTAATTAATTCAGTCACTGGACCTTGTCCTAGAGTGCAGGGCCTCAAAATAGTCGTCAAACTGATATGTACTGATAGTTATGCAACTTTATATTAAATATCAATGATCTATAACAAGTAGCTCCTATCAAACTTACTTGAGCAAAAAACTTTTGTTGATGCCACTGTCGTCGCCTTCGCTGGAAAAGCAATCCTATGTCTTGCTTTCCGCAACTTTCGTCGCAGGAGACAAAAATGAATCATAATTTTTTGTTGATATGCACATCTACATAGTATGTCCTTATTATCTACAAAGTTTCATGAAATTCTGTTGTATAATTTATGATGTATCTTCCAGTTTAAGTATGTACCAGCTTCAATGAGGGCCTTCTGACTTATAATAAGCATTTTAGTCTTAGATGCATGATTTTTTTTATTAGTTGTTATTGGCTTTGAACTTGCTGTCAGTAACTGCGAGTACTCTCAGATCTGTACCGTCTTTTGTCGTGGGGATGTATAAGTACCCTGCCACGTGCACTCTGTTTTTGTTATATGTATTTCTGTTTGTATCCATCTGATGAGTAAAGCCTTTTTCAACTGATTTTTATCGTGTGTTCTTACTGTTACACCACTGTCCCAGGTTAGGAGAGGGTTGGGTGCCCGCTAACATGTTTAACCCCGCTACATTCTGTATGTGCCTGTCCCAAGTCCCAAGTCAGGAGCGTGTAATTCAGAGGTTGTCGTTTGTTTCTGTGTATCATATTTGTTTTTTTGTTCATTATTTTGTACATAAATTAGGCTGTTAGTTTCCTTGTTTGAATTATTTTACATTTGTCATTTCAGGGCCTTTTATAGTGGACTATGTGGTATGGGTTTTGCTCCTTGTTGAAGGCTGGACAGTGACCTTTAGTTGTTAATTTCTGTGTCATTTGGTCTCTTGTGGAGAGTTGTTTTATTGGCAATTATACCACATCCTCTTATTTTTATATATGTTCCAGTAAAGGAAAATTCTGCAAGACCTTTTTCCTGACTTATAAATGTCCTTTTGTCAATGATATATTTGTTCAATAACATTGCCAATCATTAAAATCAATTTCAAATTTTAGATTGTTCAGATAAAATTTTAAGATTTATACATGCTTCAAGTTTCAACATTATAGAGATAAAAGCATACAAAAGCTATATTGTGTTTGTAAGTTTAAAGTAAAGATGAAAATACTTGAAACAAGGCAACTTATGCAATTTCAATTGACAAAATCATTTTGATTAAGACATCAATTATTGATCTAAGATGTGGTAGCCTTGCTGGAAGTTAATTGGGGGTCCAAATGATGGCACTATATGTAGCTCATAAGGCCCTATAAAAAACAACACATAAGAATTCTTAAAAAAATCTGGTTTTGTTTTTTTCTTTATAAATAAACAATTTATCAAACTGCCATGACATTGTGCAGCAAACAACATAACAGACACAAATTCATACTTCAACAATTGGATACTTTGACCACAGTAAGTAATGACATATGTGTAAACAAGCTCACTCATTCATACATTAATTCTCTTTATGTGTGAGTGTACAAAAAAATCCCTGCCAAATTTAATATCACACAAGAGCAGAAAGATTGGAAATTTAGACATCCACATTTGTTACAAATGAAGAATACATACAATGTTCAATACCTTGAATATCAGAAGATATTTTGTGTAGGCAGATTTTAATTAACCTTTTTTACAAGACTTAATGGATGTAAAACTACTAACAGTTGAACCTTGATCAGTGATTTGACATTTTCAACATAAATTTGGTAAACATGGCTCCAATATTCCATAAACCAATTTTTTGGCAAATGGTGAATTCAATTAAATATTATCAAGACCTGTTTTAAAAAAACCTAAATTACTCTGATAGATTTCAAGTAAATCTGAGATAAAATCACTTGAATCAAGCTGTTTAACCTGAGCAGTATCTAATAAAAGTTTATAAACAGTTCTTTATGCAAATAAACTGATAAGATAAAAGAACATTTATTTAACAAGCGATTGGTTAATGATGTAAAACAAAGAAATTAAAATGCTTCGCTGAGCGCAGCCTGATACGACCGCAGAGGTCGAACCCTGAACAGTTGGGGCAAATTTGGACACAATATTCAAGCTTGATACTGTCTGAATTTGGATTGTGATCAAATTTTTGACATAATATAGGTTTATGAATCAAAAAAATTGTGGTCAAAGATCTTATAAATCCATTGTGCAATACTGTGCAATTGAAGATTTCTTCTTGAAACTTTTCAAAAATTCGAAATTTTAAAAATTTTGAAAAAAAAATATGAATCCCTTAAAAAAATTGGGGAAAAAATTCCCCCACCCCCCCCAACTTTTTGAAACCCCCCTTGGAGCAATAACCCCAAAACTCAATCCCAGCATTTCCTTTGTAGTATGGAACCATGTAGTACAATTTCAGAAAGATCCATACACTTACACACGTTATTGTCTGGAAAATAGAAAAATGCTTGTTTTTGGCCCCCAATTCCTACATGTTTGGGGCAATTAACCCCAAACTCAATCCCAGCCTTCCCTTTGTTACATGGAACCTTGTGGTACAATGTCAGAGAGATCCATACACTTACACACAAGTTATTGTTTGGTAACTAGAAAAATGCTTGTTTTTGGCCCCTTTTTGGCCCTTAATTCCTAAACTGTTGGCCTCCATAACCCCTAAAATGAATCCCAACCTTCTACTTGTGGTATTAAACATTGTGGAACAATTTCAGAGCAATCGAAATACTTATACACAAGTTATTATCCTGAAACTAGAAAAATGCTTGTTTTGGGCCCCTTTTTGGGCCCCTAATTCCTAAACGGTTGGGACCATCATCCCCAAAATCAATCCCAACCTTCCTTTTGTGGTATTAAACCTTCTTAAAAAATTTCATAGAGATCCATTCACTTAAACTAAAGTTATTGTCCCGAAACCAATGTGTCTTCGGACGACGACGCAGAAGACGACGACATCATACCATTATACGATCCCAAAAAAATTTTTGCGGTCGTATAAAAACATGGACTGTTTCTTTATATATTTCCTTTTCTCAATCACTTTTTGAAAACATCATTAAATGTTCATCAATAAAGAAACAATGTTATATTTCTCAATTATCATCATTTCTTAATATTTTTAAAGTAAACATTTCTGTCTATCCCTTCCATTTCAAGACATAAGTTAGAATAAATAAAAATTAACTGTCAATGTTAGTTGAATTAGATATGATAAGGTATAAAAGTTTTATAGCATACATTAAGCATTTGCAAAAGAAAAAAAACACTTTGATAAACAAAAGGTGGGATAAGAAAATAACAATAAAAGAAAAGTGGATACAGCAAAATATGAAACAAACATATTTCTTCTCCTTATTTTATAAGGAACAGCACATGATATACTATAGAAATAGCACTAACCTTAAAAGATCCTAAAGCATTATATACAATGTATAGATTTTACCATATAGGCAAAGAACAACATATTAAAATTTTTACAAATGAATATTCAGAAGTTTTTATCCTATAATGTCCTCCATAACAACATTTGTTTCTTACCTTCTTTTTATATAACTAGAGGCGAGTCAATTTTAATTTCCCATACTTGTTGGTAATAAACCAAGAGGGGGTCAATTAAATTTCCCTATATACCTAATTATCTCTCATACATGGTTGACTACAGATGGTGAACAACAGAAATGGGAATTGCAAGAAAATTAATCTGAGAAACTGATTAATTTTAAAAAGCACATTTAAAACATGTGTAAAATTTCTAACTTTTTTTGTTACATTGACAATTTTGGATTTCATAAATAATGGGACAAAAATTAAGAATATGATTTTGCACAGCAAAGAACTTACAAAGTTGAATCAATTATTAATGTCAGGCTTCATTTTTGACATGGAGTTAACAGATAAATATATACTAACATTCCTTTATGTTGAAAGGCACTTGACTTCAATAGCACAGTTCACATATAAGTCCATTAACATACGGGCACTAGGATTATTGAGATTGCATAATGTGAATGCACATTACTCCACACAGAATTCAAAATGTCTGATAAAACTTGCACACACTTTCATTTCTATCAGCAATATTAAACATTCCTGTCATACACTATAAATTCTCTCATAACAAGCAGGCTGTGACAAATAAATATAAATCTTATGCTACAATAAAGTCAGAATACTCTTCCAATAAGAACATGCAATTGACATAAGGCTTATTTTTATCTATATCTGAACAATCATACTAAATTTCATTTTCACAGCACTTTTAACAAAAATAAATTTGTATATAAAACTAAGTATTATTTGTCATTAAAAATGGAATTTGAAATTAAATCCTTGGCCACCGCCGCCACCACCACTGCCAAATGGATTGAAACCTTGTCCAAATGGATTAAATCCCTGTCCCTGCTGGCTCTCTGGATCTAAGGGATCTTCTCCATTGTCAAATTGATTTCTTTTATCTGAAAAGGAAACAAGAAAGTGAAAATATCTTAATAAAAAATCAGAGTTCCAATGTCCCCCGCATTGCACATATTTAACTATCCAAGGTACAAGGGCAATAACTTAAAAAGTACTTTTTTTTTGTTCTTTAAATTTTTTTTATTAATATATTAAGAGAAATGAAGGCTTCAGAGCAAATGCAACGTGAATTCCATTATAATGTATATTTCCAAGGGGCATAACTCGTTAAAAATATTTGATATAATTATGATATGATCAGAACTTATTTATGAAAGTGTAAGACATTGCTGATATAAACCTACAATATAAGTTTCATAAAATTCTAGCAAGAATTGAACACATGAGAGCTATAACATTGCAATTTTCATTATAATCAATATTTACAAGGGCATAACTCTTTTAAAAATAATTGATCGGCACTGATTTCCAAACCAGTCCAAGACATTGCTGATATAAACCTATGATACAAGTTTCATAAAAATCTGTCAAGAATTGTACATGTGAGAGCGATAAAAAAACCAGACGGACACCCAGTATTTCAATGTACCCTGCTTTACATAGGGGACAAAAAGAAAAGATAGGATTTACCCGGTTCTATTTGTTCCTTTATTTTTAGTGAATCCCAATTTTTCGAAATTACAATATTAATATAGTTGTCAACCTTTAACCATTAAATCCATAAAAATTAGTATCTCATGAAATATAATGAATCCACAATATACTGCAAAATAAACAATTTCTTAAAAGTGCTTTTGATTGCTGTCTGTCATTTTGACAGTGCTGGAGGGTCAAGATATCTAGAGGTAATTCTTAAGCTGATTTTTAATTTCAAACTAGTTGCAACTGTATCTATAACTTTTAATCTACCTGGATCTGTTGTTACTTCTTTAGCTGAAGCTATATCTATAAATTTTAACCTACCTGAATCTGTTAAAACTTCTTTAGCTAAAGCTATATCTATAAATTTTAACCTACCTGGATCTGTTAAAACTTCTTTAGCTGAAGCTATCTATAAATTTTAACCTACCTGGATCTGTTAAAACTTCTTTAGCTGAAGCTATATCTATAATTTTTTACCTACCTGGATCTGTTAAAACTTCTTTAGCTGAAGCTATATCTATAAATTTTAACTTAACTGGATCTGTTTAAACTTCTTTGGCTGAAGCTATTTATAAATTTTAACCTACCTGGATCTGTTAAAACTTCTTTAGCTGAAGCTATATCTATAAATTTTTTCTCTGCCATTTTTTTGTCATCTCCTTCATACTTATCAGGATGCCATTTCATGGCTAATTTTTTATATGCTTTTAATATCTGCTTTTTAGATGCAGTTCTGAAATCAGAAGAAATATAAAACATACATAAAAAATCTATTTCCTATAATAAAATTGCTATTTTTAACTAGAAATATCTTTTCTACTCATATTGACAATTACTATATATGATTTTGCTAGTGTAATCATCAATTCTTCCTTACTGACAATTTTTTGTTAAGACTTTAATTGAAGATCAAATCACCTAAGGCAATCTTTGTTGGCAAATATCAAATCAAACACATTGAATTGTTAAAATTATAATAAATATTTGACGTCACAACTGAAAGTTACATGGTACAAAGATTGTTTGAACTCCATGTAGGTTGTCCTTATTCTGATGTGTTACATTTGAAAGAGATACGCTGATTCCCTTACTATATTTTACTTCTAAAATGAATTTCACTGACAAAAAGTAATCATTTATAATCTGGAATACCTAATATAGTCAACTTTGGTTATCTCAAATTCAAAGACAGTGTTCAAATTTCACTTCAACAAAATGTCTACTAAACGGGAGTGAAAAAGAAGCTTATGATGGGGGAGACAACTGTGATTTGCACTAGGTTATACCAGTATAATGTATGCTGTAGATCTGATCATACATTACACTTGCAGACATCAATCCAAATCATGTTTATTTTAAACAGTATTTTTGTTTTATATATTTATTCAAATACAATTTTTTCTAATTTTACAACCTTTAATCTTTTAAGCTGTGAGAGGTAATTGTGATGAAACTATTTGTTGTTATTAATTGTTTACACTTATTATTGACTTTTCATGTCAGTATCTGTATATTAAATAAAGAGTTGGATGAAACGTTTCGCGGCCAAAAACAGTGCTTAATTTGGCACTAAGGGCGAATGAACAAAATACAATGTAGCAGGTTTGTATGAACACTCAAAGCCCAACATTATCCATACCATCTTTCTTCACTTTTAATGGCCTGATCATTAAAACATTACATTGATGCTTAAAAGCTGATTATGTTACATCAAGTGTGTAATGGCTACATGATAAATATGCTTAACCTAAACCATCAGGTAAGTTTTATATAAACAATAAAATGCTTTGCTGAGTGCAGCCTGATACGACCACAGAGGTCGAACCCTGAACAGTTGGGGGGGATTTTTGGACACAATATTCAAGCTTGATACTGTCTGAATTTGGATTGTGATCAAATTCTTGACATAATATAGGTTTCTGACACAAAATAAATGTGGTCAAAGATCTTAAAAATCTATAGCGCAATACTGTGCAAATTGAGATTTCTTCTTGAAACTTTTCAAAAATTTGAAAAATTTTGAAAAAAAAAAATGGAGAATGTGTCCCCATGGACACAGATGATGCCCCTGCTTGCATACAACATTATTAAGGGACATAACTCAAGAACGATAAAAGTGACGCTACCCAAATTTGTACTTGATCTGAGTTTTGTGGTAATAAGTATTGTGTATAGGTTTCATAATGTTTGGTTGGGGCAAAGTTATAAAGAGGCATAACGCTAGAACGGTAAATAACTCACTGCCCAAATTTGACTGTCTGCAAATTTTGATTCTTAGCATTGTGTACGAGTTTCATAAAATTTGGATGAGAAAAACAACTTAAGAGTGCGGAAATGAAAATGGGACAGACGGTCAAGGGTAAATTACTCTTAATCATTTTAGTACAACTAACAATCAACTTTAGTCATAAGATTTTTTGTGAAAAGAGCCCCAGATGTGTAGTCAATCAGCATGTTAAAGACATTCTATCCCTGAAGCAATTTAACCATTAGAGTTAACAAACAAAATTTAGATTGTTTTTAATGCTTTCATTACAGAGATTTAGTTTGAATCACCTGAGATTTAGACATAATAAATTTATATAAATTACTGTATTTTAAGGACAATACTGATATATATACTGACTTGTGCAGACTTTCAAATGATCACAAGACAAGAAGAGTCAACCTTATCAGCAGTAGCTTTGCTTTTTTAGTTCACTTTTACTTTTTTGTTTTTCTTCTGTTCAGTTACTTAGTATGTACCTATATCTACGCATCAGACAAGATATTTCTATCAATATTTTGAATCAAGTAAGAAATGCTTGCAGTCATTGAAGTCAGATATTTTTGATTGGAATAAATTTTTTCAACAGCATTAAAATAAGATTGTTAGATATTTCATCAAGATATGGCAAGTATGCCAAAGCAATTCTAACTAAAAAGTATCCTTACCTTTTAACACCTAAAATTTTATAATAGTCTCTCCGTTGAGACTGTTTTTTTAATTTTTGAGCTCTATTCATTCCATCTCGTATTCGTCTGGACTCTTGATCTTTATTTTGAGCATCTTGGAATAATCTAATTGCTGTAAAAAATAAATATTTGTAGTCATTAGAATAATACAATGGCCATTATGTGTTAGAATATCTAAGTATTTGGTCAACAGGAAGTTGATGAGCGATAAATCTGAAAATGTATCACGCGTTAAAACATGTTCACATGAAGCCTGATAACAGATTTCAGAAAGCCCGATTTGAAATTCTCTTGAAAAATGTGACCAAAATTTCACATATGGCCAATATGTGTTAGAACATATAAGTATTCATAAACAAAAAGTTGATGATAAAAGATTCTGAAAATAAATCACACTGTATAGCATGTTCACATGAAGACAGATAACAAACTACAGGAATCTCTTATGTGTACTTCCCTAGAAAATGTGACGAAAATTTCATACATTGATAATGTGTTAAAAAATATATGTATTCTGGAAATAAGACGCTGAGAAGCTATGAATTTGAAAACTAACCATATGGCATAGCATGCTCACAAACAGCTTGATACTGAGTTTCAGGAAGCTCTTATTTGCAGTTCTGGAGAAAAATGTGATGGAAATTTCATTGCACAGACGGACAAACAGGGGTAAAACAGTATAAACCCCTGTCTTTAGGGGAAAGGGGCGGGGGTTATAGAAAAACATTTATAACAAAATGTTTCACTATGTAGTTGGCCTATTACCTATAAATTGAGCAGAATCCATTTCTTCACTACAACAGGAACATAAATTTCCTTGACTAACTGCACCATGCTCAGTTCATACATATAATGACTTGAATTCTTAATGTATGTTATTCCTTATTCAGCTTTCTAATGGGTTTTTTTATCATACAAATTAATTTGATGCACTATATACTGCTGTACAATGGTTTTCTTACCTTCATCATATTCTTCATTACTTATATGGGTTTCGGCTTTATCTATGACAGCATCAACATTTTCTGGATCTATTTTCAATACTGTATCACAGTCTTTAAAACCTTCTTTTATATGTCCTGCCTGTAAAATAGTTATTAGTAACAAAATAAGTGACCATACCTATATACATGTACATACATATGGCAAATTATGAGATCATTTTTTTTCTTGACATTCATTTATATATTTTTTTTCAATAAAAGTATTTTGTAACATATTTTCTAGCCTATTAAATCACTTCTTTCATGGGCTTCATCTTTAATTAATGTTTGAGGTTATTTCCCCAAAAACTATGACTCAAATGCATCTAACATTAGTAGTAATTTTCTTTTTGCTCTGACCTTAGGATAATTATGTTGTTGATTTTTTGCTAAATTTATTTTCTATCTTTTTCCTTTTAATCAGCAATCTTGTCATAATTCCATAGCCATGATGTTATGTTATCACTTGTAAATGTACTGAATGCACTGTAGCTTAATTACATGTGTTTTAAAAAAATTGATTAAACAATGATCATACTTACCCTATGATTACAATGACATAAATATGAATAGGCTTTTATTAAATATTCTGGTTCATTTGGCTCTGTCACCAATATTTGTTTGGCTTTATCTACACATTCTTGATATTTTTTATCATTTTTAAATTCCTGTGCTGAATTTAACTGTTTTACAAGTTTCTTCACTTTTGTATAATGTTTTTTACATTCTTTATGCTCCTGATCTAATTTTAAACATTCTCTGATTTGTCTGAAAAAATAAAAAAAGGAGTCATGATTTATATACAAGAATGAACACACTAATTGTTAACAGTGTTTCTCTAATTATTCACTGGCTTGTAGGTTCCCAAAACAATTGTCTTTTTTTTATAATTAGTTTGTGGTTAATTCTTTTTTGATTTTATGAGGAGCATTCTGAAACAATGTCAGTTGATGAAACCAGATTCATAAAAGAACAGTGTTTCAATGACCCAGTCGATTCACATATTTCATTTGTTCAAGGGCAACAACTCCAATTTTTTTTCACTTTTAACTTTTTCATAAATACTCAAAAAGTAACATTATTGTGTAATTTGTCTTTATATTTAATATACAGATGACTTACACAAGTGAATCTTCAGCATCTCCCATTGTATAATGTATTTGACTTAATTTTAAATATGCATTGGTGTTATCACTAATAAGTTTCGTTGTTGAGCGAATGTCACTAATAGCTTTGAAATTATCTCCTATGGCTAAATAACAATCAGATCTTATTTCTCTTAGTTCAGCATCCCAGGGACATATCTGTAAACAAAACATACAATTTTTTCACTTTAAACAATTATTACAACATACATGACCCTGATATTAATCCAAAATATTTTTTTGGGGGAAACTGGTTTATAAAAACATATTTTCTTCAAATGAGTGCTTAATAAGGCAAGTAGCCTTAGTCAAAACCTTTTTTTTAATTGAAACTTTTTAACTTCAAAAACAAGCTTGATTTATGAAATATTGCTATATATCTATATGAACAGCTGTTTACCTGTACATCTGAAGCAGGTAGAGTGTCTTAAACTGATGTTAAATTCAGTGTGAAAATATTTATGCATTTTGCCTGGAAAAAGGACAGTGTACTTATGTACTAACAAAAATGGTAAATATTATATAACCCTTTAAGATTTTTTTAATTTCAATTGTCTATGACATTTATAAAGTTAGTTGTTTTGTTCAAAGCAGGATCGACCCCTATATAAAAAAAAATCCTGTAAATTTCTGTAAAAATAATACTAATTTCCAGAGAAACTTACATCTACTACTCTACCCAGTATATCTATAGCAGCATCATACTGTTTGTTTGCATAAAAATCTTTAGCAGTTAATATATCACTGTGTATAGGGGATAATAACTGTAACTGTTGTTGAGCTTCTTCATTTGTTGGCTCTTTCTTCAGCTATAAAAATATGTCAATGTTAAGTAAAATTACAGAATTTTAACAAAATATATTTCATTCAAAAGTCAATGTTAAGCAGAATTACAAAACTTTTAAATATTAAATCATAAATGTTTATCTTAATAAATCTGCAAATATTTATAATAAAATGCTCCGCTGGGGCGCAGCTTCATACGACCGCAGAGGTCGGACCCTGAACAGTTGGAGCAAGTATGGACACAACATTCAAGCTTGATACAGCACTGAATTTGGATTATAATTAAATATTTGACACAGCATAGGATTCTGACACAGAATGAAAGTGGTCTAAGAACTTAAAATTTTTTAATTTACCTATTCAAACCATATCATTATTATTTGCTTTTATATATAAATCAGAAATAACCAATTTAAAATGGAAAATTTTAAAGAAAAAAAAAGGAAACCCCCCCCCCCCAATTTTTTGAACCCCTTTATGATTCATCACCCCAAACTCAATCCCAGCCTACCCTTTGTGGTATGGTACCTTGCAGTACAATTTCAGAGAGATCCATACACTTGAACACAAGTTATTGTCTGGAAACTAGAAAAATGCTTCTTTTTGGCCCCAAATTCCTAAACATTTAGGGCAATTACCCCCAAACTCAAACCAAGCTTTCCCTTTGTGATATGGAACCTTGCAGTACAATTTCATAAAGATCCATACACTTAAACACAAGTTATTGTCCTGAAACTAGAAAAATGCTTGTTTTTTTGCCCTTTTATGGCCCCTAATTCCTAAAATTTTGAGCGAATTACCCCCAAAATCAATCCCAGCCTACCCTTTGTGGTATGGTACTTTGCAGTACAATTTCAGAGAGATCCATACACTAGAACACAAGTTATTGTCTGGAAACTAGAAAAATGCTTATTTTTGGCCCTTTATTGGCCCCTTATTCCTTAACTTTTTGGGCAATTACCCCCAAACTCAAACCCAGCTTTCCCTTTGTGATATGGAACCTTGTAGTACAATTTCATAAAGATCCATACACTTACACACAAGTTATTGTCATGAAACTAGAAAATGCTTGTTTTTTGCCCCTTTTTGGCCCCTAATTCCTAAAATTTTGAGGCAATTACCCCCAAAATCAATCCCAGCATTCCCTTTGTGATATGGAACCTTGTGATACAATGTCAGAGAGATCCATACACTTACACACAAGTTATTGTCATGAAACTAGGAAAATGCTTGTTTTTTGCCCCTTTTTGGCCCCTAATTCCTAAAATTTGGAGGCAATTACCCCCAAAATCAATCCCAGCATTCCCTTTGAGATATTGAACCTTGTGGTACAATGTCAGAGATCCATACACTTACACACAAGTTATGTCTGGAAGTTACAAAAATGCTTATTTTTGGCCCCTAATTCCTTAACTGTTGGTACCATAACCCCCAAAATCAATCCCCACCTTCCTTTTGTGGTATTGAACCTTATGGTAAAATTTCATAGAGATCCATTCACTTAAACTAAAGTTAGAGTGCGAAAACTAATGTGTCTTCGGACGACGACAACGCCAACGTCATACCAATATACGACCACAAAAATTTTTTTTGCGGTCGTATAAAAATTAAAGAACCTTAGTGAGCGTGCTCACATACCCCACGTTCCCACATTGTCATTGGAGAAATAAAATAAGTGTAAGAAAAAAAAATTGAATCATAATTTCCTGTCAATATGCACATCTACATAGTATGTCCTTATTATCTACAAAGTTTCATGAAATTCTGTTGCAGAAGTACATTGAAGCAAATAAGTTCAAAGGGGCGTAACTCCTAGAAAAAAAATTGAATCGTAATTTCCTGTCGATATGCACATCTACATAGTATGTCCTTATTATCTAAAAAGGTTTCATGAAATTCTGTTGTGTGGTTTCAGAGGTGTTGCGATGACAAACTGTTGCAGTAGTACATTAAAGCAAATAAGTTCATTGCCATGACAAGAAACAGGACTGACAGATCGACAGATGGACACACAGACGGACGGACGAAAAACATTATACCCTTCGCAAAAAATTTGCGTGGGGTATAACTAAGATTAAAAAAAGGTAACTTTCATTTGCAATATATATATATATAATTTGTTTTGCATGCACACGTATAAAAATTGCGGTTTTTATCCAATGCAATCATAGGTTTGAACATTGTTTTCAATTTAGACTTGTATATATATATTCTCTGTTGTAACTACTCTACCGTTGTCAAATTTGAAATATTTACAAATTTAGATCGTTCAGTGCTGTTTATTTGGAATTCTTATTGATGCAATCGTTCTTGTAACATCATAACTGTCGTCACCATTAAAGCTTTAGAATTGTGCTAGTTCATATCGCACATTATTATTTTCATTTAAAGCATATATTTGAACTCTCTGTTGTAACTAGTCAATATAACCTATGTCGTGTTTAACACATATTTAGAATTGTGCAAGCGTCTTCCCTATTGTTAGGTTGGACTTTTTTATTGTATAAATTTCAAGATTGTTATAGTTTAATCTAAGTAGACTGATATATGATTCATTCAACATCACAATCATATTTACTGATGAAGGATATCTGTTATCCGAAATATTTATAAATAATTACATTTATAGTTCCTTTTTTTGTTATTGGTGTTGTGTACACTTTTTAGGCGTTTATAGAATTTATTTATTGTGTACATGTATCATTACTCGTAACGATCCAGCGCCCTCGTGGGAAAAATCGTTGACTATTATTCAGACGTTTTATATATATATATAGACTTGTATATATATACAAGTCTAAATTGAAAACAACGTTCAAACCTATGATTGCGTAGGATAAAAACCGCAATTTTTATACGTGTGCATGCAAAACAAATTTCTTGTTAGAGGGGTCTAAATACAGCACAAATAACATTTTCCAAAAGACCAAAAAAGTGAAAAAGTATATTTTAACAAAACGCATTTGACTAACAGGTCGAACAACGAATGTTCTTAAACCCTGCTGACTGCCATTGGCGATTGCCAAATAAACGGATCACCGATGTAATAAATGGATCTCAAATATAAATTTAATACTATATATACATAAATATATATATATATATGAGGTGTGAATAAACAATAGTGTATTTAACATGTTTAAACAAACATGTCTGGCTTTTGATTTGAACCTAACCAAATAATAAAACAAACTGGTATATGAGCTAAGCAAAGGGAAACTTACAACTGTTTCATAATCCTGTTTAGCTTCTTGAAGCTTGCCTTGTTTCAGTAAAACATTACCACGCTGCAGTCTTGCCTAAAAATAAAGTGTTACAATGTACATGTATGCTAAGGTGTTCTAATACCTGAATAACTAATTATACACATGATTAACTAAATGTCAGTTTGAATTGTTTTACATTTGTCATTTCCAGGCCTTTAATAGCTGACTATGTGGTATGGGTTATGCTCATTGTTGAAAGCAGTACAGTGACCTATAGTTGTTAACTTCTATGTCATTTGGTCTCTGGTGGAGAGTTGTCTCATTGGCAATCATACCACATCTTCTTATTTTGATATTCTAATATCCAGTAGTTCTTTTCTTTGTTGTTCCTTTCTGTTCTTTATAGTGTAACTTTGATGCACATACACAAACTGCATAAAAATTATTTACAAAACTAACATAAAATTCAAATGTCCTGGAAATGTTTGTGTGAGTTCAGTGTACAAGTAGAAACTTACAGCTGTAAAATCAGGTTTAAGTTCCATCACTTTGTCCAGATCAGGAAGTGCAGATTTGGATTTCCCTAAAGCTAAATATACAGTAGCTCTTCTGAAGTAGGTTAAGTAGTTCTTTCTATCTCCATCTGCAAATAAATAATGTTTTACTATCTATTATGTCAATATACTAATCGCATCATTGTCCTTTTTTTACTTATAAAAAGTATAAATAATATTTGAATGTGAAAAAGTGTAATACATGTAAAATAAACATGATAAGCTAGATAAGTAGGTACTGTTTAATATTATTATGTACACAGTATTCTCCCCAGTGCCTTTTAGCATCATGGTAATGTAATGCTATATCTCATTCTCTTGAATGTGATGCTATAATTTTTAGAAACCAAGATGGTATTCAAAATTTCCCTGTTTACCAGGATGCTATATGAAATCTCTGGGGATAACACTGGTACAGTGTACATGTAGCTGTAAATAAGGATTTCTTTTTTTAAATTACATTTTCAAAATGAGTTATATTTGTTATTTTATTATATAAATATGTTCACAGCGTGCTATTTTGGCTAGTGAGATAGAAATCTTACTTGCCGATTTCCAATTCTACTAGCCAAGTTTGTTGAGAGAGTTTTTTAATGAATACTCCCCATTATATCAAGACTTGTCACCACAATTATTCAACGCTCATACAATTCATAACTCTTATCAGCTATCCTTAAATTTAGCCAAATCTATCTCAATGTCCTCTTCCTCCTCCCTATCATATACATTTAGTAGTCTGACTTGTAAGTTAAGACAAGTTGAATTGCACAAAAAGTTAGAAGTAAAAACACAGCCCAGTAGATTTCTTAGTTTTTGCCCAAAACTATTACCCTTTCGTAGCCACCTTTTACCAATAACCTTTTCTTCCAAGAAATTTTTGTTTTGTTTTTCTTTGGATTTTTGGCATTTTCTTTGGATTTCTTTTTTATGTGTTTGAATTTTTTATATATCAAATTCTCTACAATGTATATTTCAAACATTCTTGTCTATATAACTTTAAATCAAAGATCTTAATTATGTATTATTTTACCTACACATATAGTTGCAATCAGATTTTAGTCTCATTCAAAATGTATTACTCTTTATTATAAATACTAGACATGAAAATTACATGTAGTTCATTCCAAATTGATAAAATTCTTTTTTTCGAAATAAACGAAAAATCAATCTTATTCTTTTCTTGGATTGAAACTGTCATGTTTCATTTAGCCTTTTTGCATTTTACAGAGATCCAAACTGGCAGACAGAAAGTTTTCTATGGTTAAAACTGACAAGTTTTTGGCCTATTGTTAGTAATTCAGTATAATAAATTGACAAAATTATGAAGGAAATCCTTTTCAATAGAATAGGCAACCATGGATTCATTTTTGAACAACATTTTGCTGTAAACTCGACTTCTGATGTTTGGTTGCCAAATTGTATGGAAGCTTAATTATTGCATTAATTCCATGCTATTGGCATCTGGCGAGCATTTGTTTCCCACACTGTGTTGTAGTAGCAGGGTAGGTATTCTGTAATAATTTAAACATTTTCTCTAAAATAATATGTTTATTGTTCAAAGTAAACAGAAATGCCTTTCAATCTTCACTTAAAAATCTTCTTCTTTTTCAACCTTAAAAGTCAGGAATGGCTTGTTTTTCTGATGAACCATATTCAAACCTGATAAATCTTACCAACAGCAGCATGATAGTGAGACAATGCTTCTGCTAACTGTCCTGCTGCTAACAGTTTTTTTCCCATTGCTAAATGTTCTTCTACATCTTTGTTTGCACTATATACACCTGTTAAAACAACAAAAAAAGAAAAAGTGAAGTTGGACTGATTTTTGAAAGTCGTCTTTTACAATCAAGTCATTCAAATAAATTCTAAATATATACCAATGTTACAATGAAGCCAATGATTGCTCGAAAACAATCAATTAATTTTAATGTCAGAACCCAGTCCCAGGGCAAGTGGACATTATTGGACAATCAAACCTAGCGCTAACAGACCCAGGGTAAAAATGTGTAATTAGGGTTAACTGACCTGATACCATTAAATGGCACAACTTATACATGTATAAAGTTAATAGTTAATTTAATTTTTTAATAATAATAGAACTTTTTTTTAATTAAATTTAGAGAGTCTACATGCAATTTCGGTCAATGCTGAAGTTGACATTCATTTCACAATGGACAGTATTTTCTTTTTAATTTTTTCTTGATAATTGAATTTTTTTTACATATTTTCCTATTTGAGCATAGTAACTTACTTAGCAAAAAAGATACATGTAGAAAAGAGACTTAAAGTTGAAAAATTTATTTTTCAATAAAATATTTCCTTACCAATTAAACAAATGTCAAGACTCAGAAGAAACAAAACAAAAGATTTCTCCCAATTAGTCGAACTCCACAATTTTTTGTAGTCCATCATTTCTGTCAACTTAACAGGACACGCATTTCTCGAATTGATGCTGAGTACAAAATTTAACACTTTCGTGTTGTCTTTCGTGTTGTCCCTGGATTGGTTAAAGCATTTACTTCCGGGTCATGCTTTTCGCAACGTTGAAATCTGATCAATCCGAGATCACATTTATTATCTTAAATGACAAACAGAAAAGAAAGATGTAATAAAAAATCTTATTGTTGTTAAATTGTTTGAGTGAAATGCTTGAAAATAATAAATAAAAAAAAAATATTACAGATCTATGATTTCATATCACGTCAGATGCGAGATAAATTCCATGTGGGACAACTCGGCCATGAGACAAGTCGGACCGAATCAAATCGGACCGCCCAAATAAGACAACTCGGACCGTCTAAGAAAACAACTCGGACCGACCGTCTGCAAAGTCAACTCGAACCGTCTATACTGACAACTCAGACAAAGTATTAAAAGAGGATTTGAACTATATAAATGATTATAAATTATTAAATGTTATATTCACATGACAATATAATTTGCATGTTGCAGAATTTGTGTAACAGGGGTGGCCACTGGCTAATCACAAAAACTAGACACCCTTGTGTACAGGAAATATTTAATAGATGGTAAGAATATAACCCTGCAATTAACAATATAATATGTATAAACAGATGTATTAAACAAAATATCACATTATGCATTAAAAGACAATTGTACATCTAGTCCCTGATAATTAACAGTAAATAAATAAAAGTGCTATTGCAAAGTATCACAAATACATAAGTATGAAAAGAAGGTTATTCTTTATAGTAATTTGCTATAATATTCAATATACAATATTCAAATAATTATTAAATAGTATTTCTTTATTTATACGTTTATCAAACTGTGAAAGTTTCAAGAATGTAAACATTATACAAACACTGATTAAATACCACAATCAAGATCAATCATTATTTAATCATTGTTTACATTATAACATAAAACATTTAATTACCTGTCTATGGGACTTAGGTTATAATACCACACGTACTGGTAACAATAATTCAACTGTCAACATTTAAATCTGAAAAATACATAATTGAACAAATTCTCACTACCCTTCGTAATAAGACAATAAAATAATACACACTATGTCTTAGATGTATAGTTATTTTATATTCAAAACAAATATAATACCAGTTACTATAAATTACAAAAGTAACATAAAAAGGGGACTTTATACAACTGTCAATTATTGAGTATGGAAACTTCATAGAGTTTGCTATTTAACATTTAATCACTCAATACATTATACTAAAATAATGAGATACAAATATTAAAATGAAGTAATGCTATTAACAATTTCATGACTATGGTACAGGACATCTGATTGTATAGTTTTATAATCTTTTGAACACCAAGTGTATTTATTAATACAAATATAAATACCTTTATTCTTAGAGACAACAGGAACATTTCCTAATAAATAATCACAGAAATATAATAAATTTCCGAAAGTTACACAAGACAAAATGATCCAGTGCTTTCTCTCAAACAATATCAAAATTTTGTAATTTCCCTCGGTCAAATCTAACCAATCAGAAAATAGAATTAATCCCTTGTGACATAATCGTCCAATGAAACTCCTGTACCAAATCTACATCACACAGATATACGAAATGACATCACAAGACTTACATCACAACTAAACAGTCGATATGACATCACAATAGTAAAAACATGTATATAAAGTATTGATCACCTGTATTAATCTACTGTTTATGTCCATACTTTCGTAATAAATCAATACTACATATATTTTAAACTACAATTATCTGGACATGGAAAATAATAAATAATAAAATATATGTACATTGCAAATAAATAATTTCAATATATAAATGACCCTATCACATTCTCCCGGTCCTTGCAAAAAAATGGTTTCCATACCATTATTCCAAGAGATGTTCTTAGAAAGCATTAAATACATGACTTAATAAATACAACATTAGCTACATATTTTCAGTCACAATCCGAAGTAATGCTTTTCCAAAGTCTTCTTCAGCAGATGGAAACATTCCAGATAGAGCGAGACGTTTTAAATATTCAGCTTTCTGCATCCAGTCTGGCTGTTGCAACATGACAAATTCACCACTTCGCATCCAGGCTGGTTTACGTTTAGTCCGTACTGGTCTCCTCTCAGAATTATCCTCCCTATCAGACTCATCATCTTCAATTTCTTCATCAGGGCCCTGTTGTTCAGTCCTATGTGGACTTGACTCAACTGTATGCTGTACTTGAGTAGGAGATTCGTGTGTTATGGTTTCAGTTTCTGTCTCGCTTCTAGGAATGTCTTGAGATGAAACATCATCTATATTTTCTGGATATAGGGCGTCCCCTGTCATATCCTCTCCACATGTGTCAGTTGCAGAGGGCTCATCTGCTGACACTGTGTAATTACTTGTATCAAGCACTTCAAGTTGAACTTTTTCTGGTGCATCTGTTGTACCAATTCTACTTGTACTTGAATCTTCAATTGTATAGACGATTTCATCTTCGATTTCATCCTCATAATGACGATCTGTGGTTCCGCCAGATAGGTTCCCAATTGGTAATAACAAGTTCCTGTGAAGAGTTCTGTTTCTACCAACCCCATCTTTTCTTTTTACGGTGTAAACTGGAATATCAGTGTTTGGCTGTTTCAGTACTATGTATGGTTCTTCTTCCCAGCGGTCTGATAATTTGTGTTTTCCGTCCCAGGCTACTATTTTAACTAGTACTGTATCACCTTCATGAATAATAGATCCCCTTTTCTTTAAATCATATGATTCTTTCTGCTTTTGTTGAGACTTTTTAGCTGTTTCTGATGCTAATTTATATGCAGTGTCTATTCGTTCTTTCAGATCTTTGATATATTTAGTAACAGGAACTTTACTGGTATCTGGTGATTTTGTTGAAAAAATAACATCTACTGGTAACTTTGCGTCTCGACCAAACATTAATTTATAAGGAGTAAATCCTGTAGTGTCATGTCTTGTATTGTTGTAGGCATGAGTCATTGTCCCAACATGAGATTTCCAATCTTTCTTCTGGTCTGGATTGAGTGTTCCTAACATACTAATCAAGGTTCTATTAAATCTTTCGCATACTCCGTTACCCATGGGATGATATGGAGTAGTTCTTGATTTCTTCATTCCTGTTATATCACAGAGCTCCTTCAATAACTTGCCTTCAAAGTTTGCACCTTGGTCACTGTGGATACGATGTGGAAATCCGTAGTGAACAACAAAATTATTCATAAATGCTTCAGCTGTTGTTCTAGCAGTAGTATTTTTAGTTGGTACAGCAATAGCATACTTGGTGTAATGATCTGTGATAACAAGAAGATACTGGTACCCTCCTTTTGATGTTTCTAAACCAAGAAAATCCATGCAGACTAATTCTAGTGGTTGTGATGTTTGAATAGTTACTAATTCAGCTTTATCTCTGCTTGGCGTCTTTCTACGTAAGCATCTTCCACAAGCAGCTATATAATTTTCTACATCTCTTGTCTGTCCATACCAGTAAAATCTGTCTTTGACCAATGATAGTGTACGGTCTCTTCCCTGGTGTCCCATTTCGTCATGAAGGTATTTTAATATCATAGAACGGTGTGATGATGGAATGACTAGTTGGTTGACTTTTTCCCCGCTGATGTTATCTGTAATGGTTCTTTGTAGAACTCCTTCACTTAAGCTTAGCTTTTCAAAGTTTTTATACATTGCATGATATTCAGGTGTCTTTGGAGTATCTGTCTTCAGTGGTTTTTGACCTATTTTTACTTTATCTATCCAGTATTTTAAAACTTTATCTTTCTGTTGAATTTCAGCTAAATCTATCTTTAAGCCTGTCATTGGATCTGCAAGATTATCAACTATTTCTGATGAAAAAGAAATTGTTTCTATTACTGGTATCGATGTTATATTGCAGATTGCATTAACTGTTTCATTCTGTAAGTTAACTGTATCTTCTTTCTCAGACACTATTCCTGGCAGTCTTGATAAAGTATCAGCATCTGCATTACTCGAACCGGGTCTATATTTGATTTCAAAATTGTAAGAAGATAACGCAGCAACCCATCTTTGAGTGGTGGCATCTAATTTTGCAGATTTCATTGCATAAGTTAACGGGTTGTTGTCAGTGAACACTACAAATGTAGAGGCAATCAGATAGTCGCTGAATTTTTCAGTTATAGCCCATTTTAACGCTAAAAACTCCAAACGGTGAGCAGGATAATGTTTTTCTGCTTTAGTTAGTCCTCGACTTGCATATGCAATAACTCGTTTCAATCCGTCTTGTTCTTGGTAAAGAACTGCACCAAGGCCATGACCCGAAGCATCAGTGTGAAGTTCAAATGGCTTTTTGAAATTCGGGTATCCTAAAACCGGTGGTGTCATTAAACAAGATTTTAAAGTACTGAATGATTCTTCCTGTGCTGTTCCCCATGTCCATTCTGGTTTTTTCTCTACTTTCTTTGTTCTTTTTCCTTTGTCTTGTTTCTTCTTGATAGGTGTTGGCATAAGATTGGTAAGTGGTCTAGCAATCTTTGCAAAGTCTTTTACAAAACGACGATAATAGCCAACAAAACCTAAGAATTTTCTAACTTCTTCTGGTGACGTTGGTATTGGCCAAGATTTGATCTTCTCTATTTTATCAGGATCAGGTTCAATTCCCTCCTCAGACACTATGTGTCCTACATAGCGTACTTTTCTCATAAAGAAAGAACATTTCTTTGGTGATAATTTTAAACCTGCTTCTCTCAGTCGACTAAAGACAAGATCTATTCTATTCAAATGTTCTTCATATGTGTTGGAGAATATTATAACGTCATCAAGATAGACAAAACAAATCTTCAAATTTAGGTCCATCAATATGGTTTCCATTAATCTTTGATATGTTGCTGGGCTATTTGCTAAACCAAATGGCATTCTTTCATATTCATAAAAGCCTAGCGGGCCAACTGTAAACGCAGTCCTTTCCTTATGATCTTCTTCTATCTCAATCTGATGATACCCTGACTTCATATCTATTACTGTAAAGAACTTGTTTCCTGCAAGCCCTTCTAAAATTTCTTCGATTCTAGGCAACGCATGTGAATCTTTTACAGATTTATCATTAAGTTGGCGATAGTCCACGCACATGCGCAGTTTACCATCCTTCTTTCTGCATAAAACTACATTTGATGCCCATGGTGAAAATGATTGACGTATAATTCCGCTTGCTAATAATAGATGAAGATGATCTCTAACTTCTTCATACATTGATGGTGGTATTCGTCTATGTTTCTGTTTGAATGGAGTTTCGTCTATTAACTGTATTCTATGCCTAACCATTTTATTGTGTCCAATATCAAGGTCATCTTTGGACATAATATCAGCATATTTCTGTACAAGTTGTTTTCCTTTCTGTATCTGTGTCTGAGTAAGACCATCTGTACACATAGTTATTCCTTCTATGACTTCTGTGTTATCTTTTTGATGTTGTTCATCGTCATATCGTTCAATATTTTCAATATGGACTGGTTGAAGTTCACATAAAACACTGTTTGGTGAAACTGTAACGGTCCTTGTCGAAGGATTTGAAATAAGTACATTTGTTGTTCCAAAAGCATGTTTACTGTAACTATAAGAAATTATTGCAGGTGTAATATCTAAGTCAAGTGGGATAGATGATCTTTGTGTTGGCTGCAGTAGAGCACAAACCGGTTGGTATGGCACTTTCTTGTCTAAATAGCCAGATATTACAACTTCAGAATTGGGTTCTATTGTAATTCGTTCTTTTTCAGCAGACTTTATAACAGCTAGTTTATTATTCTGTCTGCACAGATTTTTTTCTCTAAGTGTCAAGCATCTTAGGGTCATGTATACTGGTGTAAATAATTCGGCCTGCTGCAGGTATCTTTCGCCATATCTTTTCTGTAGAATTTCCATAAAAGAAGACAAAATATTAGTACCTATCAAAACTGGAACATTGATATTGTATTTACTGTCAGGAACGATAAGGAAAAGGCAATTGTTCAGTGTGTTGTCCTCATTCTGTTTACTTCTTGATCCTAAGATGTTCATATTTGTTTCAATAAAACCTTCATAAGGGAGTTCTTGACCATCTGCACATTCAATTTTTAAGATTTCTTGAACTGGATGGATAGGTACTTCAAAGAAATGTTTATCATAAAATGATCTACTTATTGTGGAAACTGATGAACCGGTATCTAAAAGAGCTATTGTAGTAACTGAACCAATAATTATCTGAACTTCATTTGATTTTCCAACTAAATCTGTTAAGTAATTAGGATTATTGGAGCTCCCAAAACGACGACCAAACATACGCCCCGTTATGCTGATCCCTTCCTGTTTAAAGAATTTCTACTGTGGTCTAATCGAACTCTACATCCTATTCTCATATGTCCCTTTTGACCACAACGCCAGCAAACTACATCCTCGTTTTCATTTCTGTTAAATCTAGGTTGTTGTTCTTGATTGACATTATTTCCATATGTATTCTCAAATTGTCTCTGACTCTGTTGCCCAAATTGTCTTTGACCCCGATGTCCTTGAAATTTGGTTTGTTGTGAATTTCCTTCATTATTTCTTGCTCTCCAGTTATTATTCTGTCGGAATGGCTGTTGTGATTGATTCTTTCGATCATCTTTCAAAGTCTGTATATCAGCTGCCATCCTTTGTATAATAGTCATTAGATCTGTCTCTTCAGATTCAGCCTCTTTGACATTTGCCATCTTTGCTGTAGTTATCTTTACATCTTTCTTTACATCTGCCTCTAGTTGTCTCATTTCTTGTTTCAGTTCATCATAATTCTTAATTATATAGTGCAAATGACCTGATGCATTTTTTAAATCTGCTCTTAATCCACTCCAAAACATGGAACACAATTTATCATTCTTGTCGGGTTCTGGTATCATCTTCCTCTGACTAGCTTTATACAACAGATCTTCCAGTCTATTAGCCCATGTAACGACATCTTCTTCAGGTTGTTGCTTTGCGCTATAAAACTCTTCCATCAGTTTATCATTTTGAATGGATATGCCATATGTTGTCTCCAGTTTCTGTAGGAGCAGATCCAGACTTGCATCTGCGCCTAATCTCATGGCTACACGGGCAGCATGTCCCCTTAATGAACGTCTTACTGCCATGTCTATAATATGTGGTGCGAGCTTGCACCTTCTTAATGACTCAACCTCATATTTCCAAATATCATAAGGAGCCTCTCCTTTACCTGCTTCTCCGAAAAATGTCGATATTCTAGGTGTGTAAACTGTTGATTCCACTTTAGCATTTGTTGACGATGTCGGTAACGTTGGTGATGCTGTGCTTTGGGATGTTGTATTATTGACGTTTTGTACTACCGGTGCTGACGTACTAGGTGTAGGCTGAGCAATATTTTCAGGCTTTACCTCTTCTGTTTTTAATGTTGTGCCAATAAATTCAACCATCCATTCTTTTAGTTCTTTTGGATTTGTAATCTTTGGTTTTGTTCCTAGTTTCTTAAACGCTTCAATTAAAGCCTTTTCCTCCTCTCCTGTTAAAGCTGTTTCTTCTTCTGGTGCTTCCTTTTCAGCCATTGTTATTGGATTACTGGTGTTTTTCTTCTTCTTCTTCTTCTTCTTTTTGAGTAGCTTCTTTGGAATATCTTTGAGTGTCAGATCCAGGATATGTCAACTCTTTAAACTGTGATATGATAAACACACCTAACAGCCAAAAGAGAGACAGTAGCTGGTTGTAGATATCTTCGAGTATTGGATTCAGAATATGTCTACTCTTTCAACATATTTGTAACAGGGGTGGCCACTGGCTAATCACAAAAACTAGACACCCTTGTGTACAGGAAATATTTAATAGATGGTAAGAATATAACCCTGCAATTAACAATATAATATGTATAAACAGATGTATTAAACAAAATATCACATTATGCATTAAAAGACAATTGTACATCTAGTCCCTGATAATTAACAGTAAATAAATAAAAGTGCTATTGCAAAGTATCACAAATACATAAGTATGAAAAGAAGGTTATTCTTTATAGTAATTTGCTATAATATTCAATATACAATATTCAAATAATTATTAAATAGTATTTCTTTATTTATACGTTTATCAAACTGTGAAAGTTTCAAGAATGTAAACATTATACAAACACTGATTAAATACCACAATCAAGATCAATCATTATTTAATCATTGTTTACATTATAACATAAAACATTTAATTACCTGTCTATGGGACTTAGGTTATAATACCACACGTACTGGTAACAATAATTCAACTGTCAACATTTAAATCTGAAAAATACATAATTGAACAAATTCTCACTACCCTTCGTAATAAGACAATAAAATAATACACACTATGTCTTAGATGTATAGTTATTTTATATTCAAAACAAATATAATACCAGTTACTATAAATTACAAAAGTAACATAAAAAGGGGACTTTATACAACTGTCAATTATTGAGTATGGAAACTTCATAGAGTTTGCTATTTAACATTTAATCACTCAATACATTATACTAAAATAATGAGATACAAATATTAAAATGAAGTAATGCTATTAACAATTTCATGACTATGGTACAGGACATCTGATTGTATAGTTTTATAATCTTTTGAACACCAAGTGTATTTATTAATACAAATATAAATACCTTTATTCTTAGAGACAACAGGAACATTTCCTAATAAATAATCACAGAAATATAATAAATTTCCGAAAGTTACACAAGACAAAATGATCCAGTGCTTTCTCTCAAACAATATCAAAATTTTGTAATTTCCCTCGGTCAAATCTAACCAATCAGAAAATAGAATTAATCCCTTGTGACATAATCGTCCAATGAAACTCCTGTACCAAATCTACATCACACAGATATACGAAATGACATCACAAGACTTACATCACAACTAAACAGTCGATATGACATCACAATAGTAAAAACATGTATATAAAGTATTGATCACCTGTATTAATCTACTGTTTATGTCCATACTTTCGTAATAAATCAATACTACATATATTTTAAACTACAATTATCTGGACATGGAAAATAATAAATAATAAAATATATGTACATTGCAAATAAATAATTTCAATATATAAATGACCCTATCACATTTGCAAAACATGATTAAAAATATGTTCTCGCTGTGTTGAAGACCCATTGGTGGCCTTAGGCTGTTTTCTGCTCTTTGGTCATGTTGTTGTCTCTTGTCCCCCTGCCACCCCCCTAAATCCGCCTCTGCCATTGGGCATCTAACCATATTTACATGCTCAGCTTGGGTGCTCTCTATATACAGTGTTGTTACTCCCTCCACCATTTGATATCTGATGTGCGCATATTTACATTAGAATATTTACCCCACACAATTATAACAAAGTATAAAAAAAGTGTGTTTCCTTAAATCATTTGTTTCGTCAACACTCTAATTCTATATTTAGTCTGAGTTGTCATTATAGACGGTCCGAGTTGTCTTTATAGACGGTCCTAGATTTCTTTATTATACGGTCCGAATTGACTTATTGACGGTTTGAGTTGTCTTCATAGACAGTCCGAGTTGTCTTTTGTGTAGACGGTCCGAGTTGTCTCCGGGCCGACTTGTCTCATACCCGATGGCATTCCAACATGGTTGACTTTCAATTTCTTTTTTGTTGACATTTGACAACGTTATTTTTGAATGCTTTTTTCAAACTATATCTAATATTATTATTCGGTTATTCAATGCAACGAAAACGATCAATTTTTATTTAGAAAAATATGATGCGCTCTTAATTGATTAAGGGCCACTGTTAAAATTACCTGCTCAAAGTGAGTGATTGGACAGGTAAACAAATGCAAGATCGATTTTGAAACAGGTATGTTAGAGAATAGTTCATGTATGTTATTAATTTGGAACTAATTTTGCTCTTAATAAACTGTATCTTGTTGACACATTCAATATTTTTGACGTCCAAAATAAGTTTTAAAGACTTGTTTTGGTTTATCTCCCGCGGGTTTCATGTTCAAACATGTAGGTGAGGGTGTTGAAAAGTACAAAATGCACGAATGTAAACGTATGTCAATGCATTGAAATGAAAACGCAAGTATTTGAATAATTTGATTTAAATGCAATGTTTGCTTATGTGTTTCTTGACAAAGTACTAGCTACAGAAAATAAGTTTGAGCTTGAAACCAAGGGGAGATTATCTAGTTTGTTTTGTCAGACAGAGGATTTTGTGTATCAATGAAGTAGATATTAAACAACAATTAAATATATATTCAGACTATTTTTAGTGTGGATGTTAGCAGAGGCAAAGTTAGGGGGAGTTGGGTTTGGGTGCCTTCCCTATTTATGGAGCTACTATTAGGGTTAATACAAAGACTTTTAACACGTTCTACATCTAACATTGCCTAGTTTGGGGGCCCTGCCCCCTCTTTTTTTCAAAATCCTGGATTGGCATCTAGTTAGTCCAATAAGACTTGTTTCTGGTCTCTTGTCAGAAACAAAGAGGGAAGGTAGAAAGGTAAAATAGTTTTTTTTTTTAAATATTGTTTACTAGGACTATAAAATAGAGAATGAAGACCCATTGGTGACCTTGGGCTGTTTTCTGCTCTTTTATCAGATTGTTGTCTCTTTGACACATTCCCCATTTTGATTCTCAATTTTAGTTCATCGAAATGGATGCCACACTAAACTCCAAAACATACAAACGAACCAAAATGATAAAAAAAACAAACAAGACTAACAAAGGCCAGAGGTACTTGACTTGGGGAAGGCACAAAAATGAAGCAGGGTTAAACATGTTTTGTGAGATCTCAACCCTCCCCTATACCTCTAGCCAATGTGGAATAAACAAACACACAGCAATACGCACAGTAAAACTCAGTTAATAAGAATCTGAGTCTGATGTTACAATAAGTAACAGAAGAAACTATGCAAAATGACAATGATTAACATAAATAATCAAAGGACTACTAGCAGTTACTGACATGCCAGTTCCAGACCTCAATTGAACTTATAGCAAGATGTGTCTTCATCATATGAAAATCAATCACAATCCCTTCTGTTAGGGGTTTAGTATCATGCCATCATAAATTATATGAGAAGAACATAACCTGTATCATGCCAACAACTGGTTTTAGAATAAATGTGTTTATTTGCGATGGAAATGGTTATGGAAATGTTCTGAACATTAAACATGTTAAATGTCCCTAAAATATTTTGGATACATGTTGGTAGGGAGGCAGGAATTGTAGATTATTACATGGCATTTTCCATATAGGTCCTAGTACCAGCCCAATACTCCCTTTTTGGACTGAGGGCTTTAGGACTTTTGGTGTATCTAATAATCATGATAATACATTTAAAAAAAACCTGTATAATTGATACATTGTGAAATAAAATGAATTTCATCTTCTTTCGCACTTAAGTCACAAAAAACACAATTTCTATCATTCCTATCAATACCAGCATAATGACCACTTTCAATACAATAATTATTCAAAGACAAACCCACCTTTTAAAACGAGTACGAAAGTTCAGGAATACATTTTTGAAAGTAAAATTGCAAAACTGCATTTGTTACCACATATTTAAACATAATCTACACTTTGAAGAAAATTAAAGAGAAAAATGTAAAACATGTTAAGCTTGATAAAAATCTTCATTGTAAATATGAACTGTCTTCATTCAACAGCCATTATAACACACATTATTCATACATAAGTTTCTTACATATGTTGCCCAATTCAGACTTTTTTTCTGAAAGCAGAATGTATTTTTAAAGTACAATTCTTTTAAAATGACGATATACAATGAAGCTTTTTATATGTGTGTGCACAGTCGGTATGTATACACTACAATAATCTGCATATCAAAAGCATTCTTAATGTTAAGTTGTCAGACAGCTACAGTAAACTATATTTGTTTAACACTAAAGTCCTTTTGTGTGTTACAGCACTTATCAACAACCTTTGGATCACATGGAGATACATTTAATATTAGAAAGATTAAATGTACAAGTTTTACATTTAGATCCAATTTTCAGAAACCTATTATGATATATCAGTGAAGCTTTTTCATTGCTGGTTACTGGGGTAATAGTTTGTTGGAATCTTTCATGTTATTTGTGAGACACATCATATAAGATGTACATGTATTATAAATTATTTTTATTTTCAAAACAAAACATGATAGAATTTTGTTTTTATATCCTAGGACACCATGGCAACACAAATGATGTATTCTCCTATGCCTGACCACTCAGTTTCTTATATGAATGGATATCCTAATAATTATGCCTCTAAAGGAAATGGGAAAAGCTTTGCATTTAGAAAAAGATATGAAAGAGTGGATTGGAGAAAGATTTCCTCTGTTGATCTTGATCATATCTCAAGGACTCTGGATTTTAATGCCTTACAGGAAAACATTTTAAACATAACATTTTGCAATATAGAATCTGAAATGGTAAGATATTACAAATAATAATCTATGCATTGTTTTAAACTTCTATATTAGTCTAGAATGATAATTCTCAATAATTTTTAGTTAGTACTGGTGAGACTGTCTTTAACCAATATGCTCTATTATGTATTTACTGTTTGTTATGGTTCAAAGAATGCACATCTCTTTTAACATTTTTATGCCCCTGCCATAGCGGAGGGGGCATTAAGTTTTATCCATGTCTGTCCGTACATACGTCCCAAAATTGGTTTCCGTTCTATAACTTTAGTTTGCCTCAGGCTCAACCAAATGTTATGAAACTTATACACAATTACCGTTCTAGAGTTATGCCCTTAACAAATGTAAAAATTGCTGAATTTTTCGTTTCCGTTCTTTAACTTTAGTTTGCCTCAATCAAATGTTATGAAACTTATGCACAATGCTTATTACCACAAAACTCAGATCAAGTACAAATTTGGGTAGCGTCACTTTTACTGTTCTATAGTTATGTCCCTTTATAACATATGCAAGCAGGGGCATCATCTGTGTCTCATGGAAACATTCACCATTTATTTATAGATTAACTTTGTACATGTTGTAACATATATGAGGAGTTTAAGATTCTCCACTGAAACAAGCCACTACTTTGATAATTGTAACTGTTGCTTTTAAAATGTTTTTATGTTATTTATGTTTTGTACATGTATATACATTTTGTACTTCAGGATTTGCGAATGATTGACCCAAACTTTGTAAAGCTTTTCAAACTAGCACAGTTAACTATAGAATATTTATTGGTAAGTTTGCTGTTTTTTCCAGTGTTATACAGTCAAATCTTTTAGTAACTTGGAAGTAAACAATGTTGTCAACAAATTTTCAAAAATTGTACACCAAAATGGGCCTATAGGTTTGTGTAGGTATAAGATTATTTTTGAGAATGAATGTAATATGTTAAAATGGTGTATTAGGTGTGTATCTCATGTTAAAATTGAATTCCCTGAGTATAATTATATACATTTTAATGGAACAATTCTAAAAAACAAGAGGAAAGGAAGTCAAACTAATTTTTGCAGACTACACTAAGAGTTAATTAAAAAGATAATTGTAAATATAGATTGTTTATATCATAATTTCCCTATATAAATTCTAATATGATAAATAGAAACCAGAATAATCATTTAATAATTGTTTGATACAGATGTAAACTGTTATTAAAGACATTGTTTATTTCAGCATTCACAGGAGTATTTGACAGGTGTTGTAGGTTCTGCTGAAGAGAAAATCAAAGCTGCTCAAGAGGTATTTTAGATCTTCTTGTTAAATAATATGTTTTAATTCACAACTAATATGATTTATATAGACCACTCAAAAACAACTGTCTATCTGACTAAAACACAACATGAACATTGATTATTGATTTAAATATACTAACCACTGCAATTTAAGCAACAGCATAGATTTTTAAATGTACTGTAATGACCTTTTTATCAAACTAGAATCTCATTTTTGTAAACCATGGGACATTTTGTTGCGGAAGCAAGACAAAGTGATCCTGCATTCTGTCGTCAGTGATGTCAAAATCTAGGTTTCGTCTATGGTTAAAGGTTTTTTAAATGTCAATAACTTTGTCAAACCTGCATGGAATTTTTGAAAATTGGACAGGTTGAATGGAGCAACGCATCAAAAAAGAGGTGGAAGATATCAAGGGAAATTTCAGAGCTCTAGAGTGATATTCTAATTTACCTCAGTCCATTCGTTCATGTGTGTGTGTATGTCTGTCAAATGTAATTTTTGCTGCATTTTCTCAGAAACTACAAATCAGAACTTCCTAAAATTTGGTACCAAGCTTCATGTGAACATGCTTTACTGTTTGATGTGTTTTCACATCCATCACTCAATAACTTTGTGCTCACTAAATACTTATAGAGGGTATCATTAGTGAGTAAAAGCTCCAAGTGCATCTTTTTGGAAAACATAAATGCTGTTACATTCTTTACAGGAAAATTCCAAAACCAAGGAAGAACTAGAAAAGCAGAATAAAGAACTTGCTGACGTAAAGAGAGAAAGTCATAAAAGGAAGAAATTATTGATAGCTCAGCAACATTTAATACATGCTGGATCAGGAAGTTACAACAAGGTATGAATTGTCTGAAATAATCCCAAAAATGGTAATGTCAATCCTGTTTTAATTATTCTTAAGGTTTTATTGAAAAGTTGGTTTGGTCAGACAAATTAAGGCATTCCTAAACTATAAAAACAGGATTTTCTATTTGCAATTCAGCCTTTCCAACTGAGGTAAAAATAAATGCAGTGAAATCAAGTTGCATATTTTTTCATTAACTAAATTGAAATATAATTTTTTTTTTCTAATTCTCAAATGAAATTTCTTTGGCTGGATCAAGATATGTAGGGAGAACAATTTTTAAATATGTCTGATAGACAGAAACCTCAAATTAAATGTCATCTGTTTAGTATTCAAACTTGTATATGTATTTTGAATGCAAAAGACAATGATTTAACAAAAAGGGGAATAAATTTAAGGATTATTGTCAAAACCATGTTTGAATAAATCAGGTGAAGCTTAAGAACCACTATTTAAAAAGGATACTATTATTCTATTGAGTTATAGTAGCCACTGTTGATTATGTTATATCAGTAACAAGCATGCTAGTATTATCTGTTTTAAAACTTTAAATGTTTTGTTTTGTTTACAGTGCCAATTTTGCTCAAAAGCTTTTCTAAATAGCACATTTTTACAGTCTCACATAATGAGACGCCATGGGGAGTATTCTGGGAAAGCAGCATCTATACCTGTTGCCCCAGACGACAGACAGATCATCGCAGAATCGCCTGGTTTGAGGGAACTCCAACAGAGATTGGAGGCTACAGAGGCACAACTACAACAAGAACGCTTGTCTGTGAGTGGATTGTGTGTATAGTAATTTATTGTGTACATGAAATAATATAACATTAGTTAGGAATTTCATATTGCCAATCAAAGGATATGATATATTTGAACAATCATATTACTTAGTATTAAAACTGTATCTTTATCCCTTCAAATAAGAGATTCATATTCTTATGCTATCTTGGATTGATAAATATAGAAAAGTAAAGTATAGATCCAGTTGCTTATATAATGGTTTCAAAATACAATTTTCTAAATGAAAGGATTCTTTCATCTTTTACATAAGTGCTGCATTACATTCTGATTTCAAATGCATATGGTAAATAAGTTTATTTTTTTCATTTGAAATCCTCAACACAGTAAAACATCTCTATTAAAATTATTTAGATGGGAGGATATTTAGTTTAAAGAAAAAAAGAAATGATTAGGCCCCCTTTTGGTAGTCGCTAAGAGTAGAAAAATTGCAAATTTAGTGCACATCAGGCCTTTCTATCATAAAACTTTACTCAGAACTCAGAATACAAAATTTGTGCTTGAGATGCCAAATCCAACAGGCCTCTACAATTACTTTTTTTTCAACTTGTCTAGTAGGACAAGTACATACCAAAACTTACTTGTCCGAATGAAATTGTAACTTGTCCAAATAAAATCTTAATAATAACCTTTTTAGCTTTTTAAGTTGATTGAATTAAAACAATAGAACAGAATTTGATTTTAACATATCTTTTGCAATACTTTTCAAAAATATGAGTCGAGAACAACTGAATCTGGTCATGTCACAGGACTTAGGTTCTAGTTTTCATCAATGCCAAAGTCTCATCAGACTCTGCACATGAGGCACCGTCTGATAGGATTGCCAATGTACACTCATTGGATTTGTATCCTGGTTTTTTAAGTTGAACAAAGTTTATTCAAATGCAATCAATAAAAAAAGGAAGATGAGGTATGATTGCCAATGAGACAACTCTCTGCAAGAGATCAAATGACACAGAAATTAACAACTATAGGTCACCGTATTGCAAGTATTGTTTTTTTCTACATATGATCAAATATGATTTTGTGAATTTTATTGTAAATAATTTCTTCATTTTTATTTAAAAAATATTTTTGTTAAAAAAATTACCGGTATGGTATTTATTATAAAGCAACAGAATAAGGTAGGAAAATGAGGTACTGATTTGTCTTGGTCCTGAAATGTCTCCTGTGTTACCAAAATGTCTATTAATTATGTCTATTAAATATGTCTCCTACGGTGCCAAACTGTCTATTAAACTAGGAGCCGAATCGCTTCCGAGCTGGTGACGAACTGTCTTGTAAAGTTACCTTATCTACAAAGCGACGATATTCGATCAGTAAGACTGGTTTCCGAGAACCTGTTAAAAAGTACCTGACAAAGAACCAGTTTTAAATTATCGATTGCAAGTAAACATGTCAAATTAATACTTGTTTTTATGTTCTTTTCTTGTTTTTTGTTTAAAATTACTTTGTTCATCAAAGTTGGATTAAATTTATTTTCTGCAGAATAATTTTACTTGTCCTGTCGGACAAGCTTGATATAGCTTTTACTTGTCCGACCTTTGTTTCCTCTGGTACCGGACAATCGGACAAGCGTTATTGTCGAGCCATGTCCAATATTGAATTATCACTTTTAAACACATTTTTTGGCAAAAGTTGATACAGTGATTAAAAGGCTTATAGTTTTTAATGCATTTAAATGAGTTATCTAGGCATAAATTATATGTATAGTTGTTTCGACTTATTTTAGATATATCATTAACAGCGTCTGGCAAAAATTTAGAAGGATAAGAGCAACATGGTTGCCTGGTAGAGTGTAGAAGAAAACTTAAGTGTCAGTTTTATTTATTGTATTCTTTTTAGAAATCAGAGGTCGTTAGGAAGTCTGAAACTACTTTAACGAGGAATATCATCTCTACAGACGACAACCGAACTGAGGATCATAAGGTATTTTTAAATTACAATATAAATATTGCTCTCCCTATATAAAGATATACAGAGTCATACTGCTGGAATAGGTAGTTTTGTTAATATGGCAGATATATCAATGGTGTGAAGTTTCAATGCCTTTATGTTGATGGGTCATAATTTTTTTAATTTTGAGTAGATGTCTCTAAATACTTTTCAGTCATTTGATTATTAATATGAATGATCCACGTGGTTAACATCTTTATCTGCTGAAAGTTTTTTTATCAACACAAGTCTAATAGTGCAATCAGTTTTGCAGATAAATATTATTGGATAAAATTTGAATGTTTTTATTTATCAAATTTCAGCAACAGTTAGAAAGAATGAAAGATCAGTTTATGACTGAAATACGGGAACTGAATGAAAGACTTCATGCTGCAGAACTTGCCAAAGATCAGTTTGACCACAGACAGAGTGGTCGATCATTTCTAGGGGACCTTAGGGACGACAATGAAATTGAAAAGGATAACTTAAGAGATCAAAGAGAACAACTTGCTGTGTTGAAAGAACAATTACAAGACAAGGTAATAAAATTTGTGTCACTTTGATAATTGTATCGTCTTACAGCTGGACTCTTTCAAACTGTCGCTAGTAATACATGGAGATATCTTCTGTCATCTGTGTCACATTTTATATTCACTCACAACTCCTTCAAAATGCCTTTACAGAATTCAACTCAACTTGCACAAATTCTTCTTCAGGACATGAAGTTTTGGACTGGAAGTTTTAATTTTTAATCTAAGTAGGGTTTTTAATGTAAAAACATGGACATGAAAATTTCTGCATATATCAGTTTGATAATCTGCAACTCCTTTAAAATGACTGTTCAGAATTCGACCAAACTTGCACAGATTATTAAGCAGATCATGAAGTTGTGCACCTCCTATTTTATTTTTCATTTGAGAGATTTTTTGGTTTTCCCTTATGACAACGTGTACTTACATGTTTCTGTTTTAATATTTGGAGATGATGGGTGAGACAATCTTCCCTAGAAAACTAATACTTTTTTTTTTGGTAAGTTTTGTATTTAGATCGATATCACAGAAATATATATCGATATACTATCCTCTTAAATATTAATGAAGATTATCAATGTTCAACAAATTTTTCATACATCTAAGCATAAACAAACAAACATGGGAGTAAAAATCATCTAAACAAAAAGATTGAGCACAGGTGCTTTGCATTCATCACCTGTCGCACGATTCCAAAGTCACATCCAACAGAAAGTGTCAAAGCAAAAACATTGTAAGACTATTGTTTATGTCAGATTGACATAGTGGACATGTTAGATCTATGACAAAGTTCAAAGGTTGCTAGTGCGTTTAGAAATTGAGATTTTCTAATGATCAAACAGTTCATGATGGTTACTGTAAAACTGGTTAAGTGATAATTCCAGTTGTTCTTCCTCGCCTTCTTGTTGGAGTAGTGTTTGAGTTAATAATATACCTCTATAATGTTTTTCACACACACCTTATCTATAAAATGGAGGTGTTTATTTTACATTATTTGAAAGGTGTTTGTTTTACTTATTAATTCACAATTTGGAAATTGACCGGTATTTAATTTTCCCACACTAACAGTAAATTGCTAAAATAATAATTTATAAGTTGTTTATTCTGTGTAATAATTATTAGATACAGGTTATGGAAGGAAAAGTGCATAAGAAATTTGGTAAAAAAGAAAGAAATTACCAGAAGACCATTCAAGAACTAAATCGACAGCATGCTGATGATCTTAGAAAGGTAATTATTTCCTTTAAAAGCTACAAATACTTTATATGTTTGAATTGTCCTTCGCCCTTTTTTCATATGCTACTTTCATTAAAATTTTCTTTACACATACAGAATTCAGGCTTGTATAGTCCACGTTTTTTTTCTCCAAAATTGAACCTAACGGACAGGGGTGCGGACTATAGAGTACCATAAGAAAGAAATAAGAGAAAAATTCGATTTCGTGAAGTTTGTTTACATTCCGTCATGTTTGTTATTGAAATTGTAGAGGGTGCTCTAGAGCTGTCATCTTCAATACTAATAATTTACCTAATCCAAATTAATATGCAATTTTAATTCAATAACTAATATAAACTGATAAATTTCAAATTTAAATGCTTCACAACAAAATTCTCTTTTCTTTTTACTGCCTTGCATAAAATAAGCTGGAATCTACTTGAATTTACTGACGGAACGGAAAAAGTGTACAATCAGCCGGAAACCAGATTATGCATTTCGATGTATAAACTACAAAACGTAATTGGTTATTCGTTCCTTTTTGGTGTTTCATACTGACGCATGTGTTTTGTTTTAGCTAAAGATCCTTCATACATTAATGTGATTGATATGTTTAACATTATTTTACTTAAAGATGGAACTGTTTTACTTTCAGAGTTGTATTCTAGTTATATCTATAAAGTAGGGATTTCCTGTACACTCTCACCGTATTTATTTTCATTTACACATGCTATTGGAACTTCTGGTTTGACAAACACAAGTTTTTCATTTTGCTGTTGTTGTGATTTTGACTTATTTTTACACTTGTGAAGTGTTCTAGAATCTTTTACAAGCATTTTCAACTTCTTATTGATGATGGAAAACGGGTTTTTCCATGAAAATACCGCAAACGATCATGCATGATTTGAAATTACCGGAGTTTCATAAGACGTTTTCCAACAGTTACAAAAAGTTTTTTTTATCTTAAACTCTCGTGGCGAGAAGGAGGGTTCAAACTATACATGGCCGATTGCAGTATATGTTTTATGCATACTCATATATACATAACATTGACATAAATAAACCACAATTTTTCCTAGTTAAATAGTAGGAATTTAAGGTTCTCCATTCTTACATTTTAATGACATGGGTGGAAAGCATAAGAAAGACCAACTTGTTCAAATAACTTTTGAAACATAAGGGATCAGCCTTTGACAATGAAACACAAAGAGTTTATTATACCCCTGCAAACAAAGTTTGGGGGTGTATAGGAATCACCATGTCCTTCCGTCTGTCTGTCCGTCCATCTCGCTTCATGTTGAGTGCATAACTTTTGTACCATACAACTTAGGTTAACCAAACTTGGTATGCAGCTGCATCATGGACTTGGGATGTGCCATATACCAAAGTTAGGTCACTCTGACCTTGACTTAGACCTTTGACCTCTATGATAGTAAAACCTTGTCCAATTCATGTCTAGCTCATAGTTTTTATACCATACGACTTAGGATAACCAAACTTAGTATGGAGTTGTATTATGGGCTGGGAATGTGTCACATACTTAAGTCGGGTCACTATGACCTTAACTTTGACCTCTGACCTCTTTGATAGTCAAACCTTATCCAATTTGTGTCTGACCCTTATCTTTTGTACCTTAAAACTTAAGATAACCAAACTTGGTATGCAGTTACATCATGGGCTTGGGATGTGTCAAAGTCAGGTCACTCTGACCTTTGAAAAAACCACTAAGTACTCTTACGATCTAAATTTTGTAATATAATATGGAGAACTTTCATTTAAACTGTTTGATTATCTATAATATGTTTAATAAAAATTAAATTAAATTGTATTTGCAATTTTGTGTTGTACTGTATTTGTATCTGAATCATTTATGTACTTACAAGAATATTTTGATTTGAGTTATTTTCTATCTGTTTTACATTTTAGTTAAATGATGCTCTTCAAAAAACTACCCATGCTCTTGCTGTCAGTAAAGCACCTCTCAACAAAAGACAACATGAAGAAAATGAAGCTTTACTTAGGGTAAGTTTGTAAATATACATGATGTGCTTTGTGTGCATGATCTGTGGAAAGTTTGTAATTGTTTTAACAAATAAAATAAAAATCATACTTATTTATTTAATTTAGTCATGTCATAAACATTTATCCTGTTGATAGCATAAAAACAGATTATGCATTTTCACAAATGAACTTTGTTGTTTTTGTTAATTTTTTTTAGGTCAGAACAAAGGTGTCTTCAAACAAGCACAAGCTCATTTTTAAGTTTTAAAGGTTAATGTTAATATAATAAAATGTTTATGGGAACTTTAGTATTGCTGTGTAACATCCTTTTAAGTTATTAATATAATTATATGTTATACACAAAGTTTCTAAAATTATAAAACTTTTAACAATTGAATCAATAAATTTAATTCAGAACACCTTGTATTATTTCAGAGTTCAAGGGAAATAGAAATCAAATTAAGACACAGTGCAGAAGCTGAAACTGTAGAGGAAATGATAGCAGCAGAGGTATTTAAATGGATTATAATAATATTTGAAGATTATTTCTTGTGTTGTATATCATCCTTGAACAAATGAAATATGATGTGCAAATTGGGATCTAACACCAAAAACATTCCTTCTAATATGGTTTTGAAAGAACTTGCATAAAAACAGAACATATGAATGGCTATACACAAATTTCAAGTTCCAGGACTGTACTCAGACTGACCTCAATTTTGTACCAGAATGATATTTTTCCAAACACTAACTTTTGGAAGATGACATCAAAGATTTATAGAATATCTGAGTATTGATGAAAGGGTACATGATTGATTTACAAAATAGCAAAATTAAAATCCATTTATAAATATTCAATAGCTGAATTAAAAAAAAAACAAAAACAATGCAGATACTTATAACAATAACTACCTTTAACACTGATATATAGATTCCATCACTGCATCAAGTGTGTTACGATATTTCTCCACTGGAGGCACTTAAATTTTAACATTTAAATTGCGAGGCTGGTCAAGCTTGTTAGATAATTAAAATTTAAAAGTGAAACGTCACAATAGAAAATTCAGAAGAAATCAAGAAAATTTAACGTCATAATTGAAATTTCGACCAATCATTTGCCGTGAACAAAGTTTTCTCTAGAGATGAGAAATATTTTGCTCACACCGATCGAGACATGTGAAAATAGTATGAAAATTAATAGGTAGAGTTTAATTAGAGACAAATGGTTTAGGAGTTTAATTAGAGACACATGGTTCAGGAGTTTATGTGGCATAGCCGCATAGTTAACAGGTTTATATGGTATACTTCATCATTCAGAGGTCATTTTAAAATTAAAAATGACAACCTATAACTCTATACACATAAGTCTTTAGATGCAAATAGAAAAAAAACAGACTGACAGAATGTTGACAGTTAGAAATTAAAGTCATTTGATATAGGAACATTAAGATAGAGGAATGTAATTTTCATTTGCTTTTATTGCAAACCAAATGCAACTTTTCCACAGATTTATCTCCTATTGGTCAATCTATTTAAACTTTGTCAGTTCTATTGTCCCATTGAATAAATACAATAGCTATTGTTCTCTGTGTAGTTTATTCACTGGGTCCTTTAAATTTCTTCTAAGAGAAATCCATCACTCTTTGATTAAATTACCCGAGTAAAAGATGAAAATACATCTTTTATACTCACAAAACTGCATGTGCTGAACAATAGCTATTTGTTTCACAATAATTGAAAGCTTCTTGGAAAAGGTTGGGTAAATATGTTGAATTATTTATAATAGACAGATTTCCTTACATCTTCTTAGAAGTGAAGGATGAAGTTTAAGACTGTCAAATAGAAAGGAGTTACTTGGACATCACTGATAAGCTTGTGGTTCATACAGCTAAAGTTCAGTTTATGGTCAAACATTGTCCAATATGTGTCACCAGGTGGTATATTTTACATATTTCAAAGGTACAATGCTCAGTTGGTTTCTTTATGCCTTTGCCATAGAGGCAGGGAATATATTCCATGTCTGTTATTCCATTGTTCTGTCGTTTTTGGAAAATGACGCTATCAGCGGCATGTTTCCAATACCATTGACCAGAACTTACGGAAGTCGATTATTGCCTCCGCCTACCGCACTCGGTTTCAAATTTACTAACTGGAATCTGCTTGTATTACCTACACACGAACAAAGTGTTGTAGTCGCAACGGAACCAGTTTACATACTTTATTTTATTTACCAAAAAGATATCTTGACCTGTCCATATGTTTTTTGTTATTAAATGGTATTTGGAGCTATCCCTTTGTTATATTTTTCATATTTATTCAAGCTTTCACTTTTATGCACATGTCTTACAATCGTAAACAATCGGTATGTATACATGATAAATAGATCCGTTTTGTTATGGTGTTGGACTTTTTACCCTCCAATGATCAGCAATCGCTAGACAAAATAGTTTTCCTAAATAATGTCAGCCTTTCATGCCATTTCAACTTTACAATCATTCAAAAAAGTGAAAATCGGAATCATTTTGATATCCATTGGATAGAAACTGGTCTTTATCCAGATTTACGAAGATTTTAAAAATCGGAAATTAGTAATACGGTTATACCCACGCGGTGCGTATGAATCTTTGTTTACAAAACAGGATTTCGGAACGTCTCTAGTTTTTAGATCGTAAGTCACGATAAACTCAAACTGAAAGTAAACAGTTGTTTGTAAGACGCAGGTTTACTCACCATTAACAAGCTGAAACGTTCAGTATGGCATATATTTTAGGTTAAAGACGGTCCCATTCATTTAAAAAGCATTTTGAAAGTAGCTGATGGGATTATTTCAGGTTTGGGGAACGAGTAAATTATCACAAAGTTCATTTCTTGACGACCTCATAATTTCATCATGTCGATGGTACTAATCGATTTTTACTGTTTACTGTCGCTTCTCATGTTTTGTATTTAAACGGTCGTTTATTCTTAAACCCGAACCAGGCATATGCATTCTGTAATTGTGCAAATCTTCGTTCTTTGGTCAATTGGCTTATGGATAGTTGTATCAATTTCAACTCTTACATTATTTTTTTTTTAAATATATTTGCATTACACATGCAATGGCAGTACCTTTCCAATTACTATTTATGTGTTGTGTCTAAATTAAAGTTGTAACACTTTATAGTGACTGGAAAGGGTAGAAAAATTCATTAGATGAGAAAATGCTGAAGATACTTCAAACGGCACCGAATCATTAGATATTGCATCTTATAAAAAGAAACTGAGATTTGGATAGTTCCACTTCAAGGTAAAAATGTTTATCTCTTGTGAAATGAAATAAAAAAAATATTGTAACACTGTAGTTAATTAATAAAGATACTATTACGTGTATTTCTGTATTGGCCTTATTATTGGTCCTCGGCCAGCAGTATTGGCCTTTCGCTTCGCCTCAGACCAATACACCCAAGACATGGACCAATACAGAAATACTTACGCAATGATATTATAGAATGACAGTATGGTTCAATAGCGGGAATCAGCCCCTCAACTACTTTTTACATAAATATTAACTTCTGGCTTCCAACGCTTTGTTCGTCTTGTCTGGAGATCTTGCTGTAGTTCCAGTTCAGCAAGCATTTTAGAGACGTATCCCGTCCATCCTCTTTTGACTTGTAATCTCTGGTGATAGATTTTGCCGCTTGACATTGTATCCTTTCAAGCTTGTTTTTTTTGTTACCGTGTAGGGGTCCCATACTATGGCTCCATATTAAATTATAAGATCCATTCCTAAAGATCTAGATCATTGTTCTAATCTGACACAAATTTCAATAACTGGAATGCTACCCTAGTTGAATATATGGTGACCCACGAGAACAGCATTTTCACTATTGAAATTGTGTTTAATACCATGATTGTTCAATGTCATTAACTTAAATGGAGACAGACATTTGACCTGAAAGACATGAAAGGTGGTGTGGGAGTGCAAAATCAAAAACTAACAAAAGAACAGCCAGTAGTCATTGGATATTGTAGATCATTCCGGTAATCTTGACCTATTTATTTATACAAAAAAAATGCCAGTAGTAATTGGATACTGTAGATCATTCAGGTAGTCTTGACCTATTCATTTGTACTGAAAAAACAGACACATATACGAATATCAATTATATGCTTACTAGACATGTTGCAATGTTAAACTTATTACGACATGTGAAAATCAAGGCTTGCATAAAAAATATATCAATATTAGAGACAGTGGCGTCATTTTTCCTCAGACCTTTCAGCTCTTTGATTCCATTCTGTTCTTTAGAACAGTTGTCTTGACTTTATGTCTATAGGTATTGACTGCTGTCATGTTGTTGTATTTGTCTTTGTAAATTCTTGGTATTTATTACTTTATAACATAAATAAGTTATTGTCAAAAATAACTTTGATATCAAATTCATACTTAAATTTTTATTGATATAAAGCAAGAAGTAATGGCAGCCTCAACTAAAGTGACACAGATGCATATGGAACCTAGTGATGATGAGGATGAAGAAACAGGTATGATTTTCTCTCTTAATTTGTGACCCCACTAATTGTACATTTCAACATATGAACGGCTATACACTCATTTCTTGTACTAAGACTAACCTCAATTTTGGGTCAGTTGATTCAATGACATTATTCAAACCAGTCACTTTTGGAAGGTGACATTAAATATTTTATATTGTGAAGCTAAAAAATTAATGGAAAAATTTTCATTTCGTCAGTCCCAAACACTTGAAAGCTATGTATTCAAAAAATTTTGATTATCACTTATAATGCTCTCAGATATGAAATAGGTTCCAATTACAGATTAAGTTATTGTCCAACAAGAGAATTTATTCAAAATACTAGTAAACTAAATAATCCATGGAAATTGCATTGAACAAAATATGTGAAATTAGAATCTTATATCGGTAGAACTGCATTTGATACAGCACAGTGGAATTACTTGACATATATCAGAACAATGTAGAAAGTCTTATAACAACAACACTGGAGGGACTGCTGCAGAAAATTTATTGATCGACATGTTTCGGTGCCTAGGGCACCGTCATCAGGATACAAATAATACATTGAACATACTTAAGTGTACAATCGGGTTGTCTTGTGACAACGTCATAGTATAGTAGTTGTTATGAAAGGGAAGTAATAGTGAAAGTATAAATAGAAAATGTATATAAATAGATTGTCAACATGAAAATGAAAGTAAATTAAAATTATTTGTATATCAACTCTGTGTTATTATTGTCTCAGCTAAAAATGTTATAAATAGAATGTACAAACACATGTCTGTCCCATAGTTCTTCCGGTAGCTCATCTAAACATATGGTTTCATCACTGCTGCTTGTTGTCAGGTCTATGTAGTCTTCCTGAGTAAGGTCCATGACATAACCGTAATCGTTTGTTATGTATTGCGGAGTGTTATTTAAAGAAGAGTCGGAATCCGACAGGTACAGGTCTTGTTCCAAATCACTTGTTGAGGGTTTTTTCGGTTTTGAGGTGGATGATTGGTGATACTCATACGGTGATTTAGCTGGTATTGTCCTGAATGTAGGTGTTTTCCCGTTCCATTCTTTTTTCTGTACGGCTTCAAATGGTGGTCTCCATTTTTCTATTGCTTTGGCCATTTCACGAGGATTTTGTTGGAAGCTATTATAATCTTCTCTGGCTTTATCTGGGTGTTTTGATTTAAGGTGTGTTACGGCATTTGATTTTCTAGTGAAGGTTGCAACACAATGTTTGCATTCAAACATTGTTGCGACTGGTTCGTGGCGTTCCTTATGGTGTCTTCGTAAAGTAGAAATACTGCAGAAAGTTTTCGGGCATTTTTTGCAATTAAATCGTCTTGTGAAAGTTCCTGTAGTTTCTTTTCTTTTGGTAATCTTCGTATTAGCCATATCGTCTGTTAAGGCCCCAGGGTTCGGTGCTTCCAAATTTATGTATAAGAGCTTCTTCCGTTCTTAGTCTGACGTTTATGTTTTGTTCTGTGGTTGTTATGCCTGTTATGGTGACGTCGTGTTTATTGTGACCATTTGAGGTGAAGTGTTTCGAGACTGGTTTTGTATTATTCTCAGTGTTGATGTCCTGTAGATGTCCCCTGAATCTTTCTTTTAGGCTATTTCCCGTTTGACCAATGTATTGTTTTTTGCATTGTTTGCATTCTATTAAATACATCACACTTTCTGTGTTGCATGTAATTTCGTGTTTAATATCTATTTGGTAACTGTTTACGGTACTTTTTGCACTTTCTGCGGTTTTCATTAATCTACAGAGATAGCAATTCTTTCCGCAAGGGTGGCTACCCTTACGGGTTTGTTTGCGTACAATTTCGGTTTTTACTAGTATTTGTTTGATTGATAAGGCTCGTCTATATGAAACAATGAGTTTTTGTTTCGCGAGGGTTTGAGTTTCAGGAGTTCTTTTGAGGATATCTTTCCTCTGGTTGATGGTTCCGTTAAGATTTTTTATTTTTGGATGGTAGTTGATTACTAATGGAATCATATCTGGCTTCACGGGTTGGTTAGTTTCCTTTGGTTTTAACAAATCATTTCGATTTAACGACTTTGCTTTTGAAATTGCAGAATCGACAACCTGTCGGGGATAACCCCGAGTCAGGAGATGTTCTTTCAGACGGTTTGTGTGAAATTCGAAATCATTGATTTCTGTACAAATTCGTCTTATTCTCAGTGCTTGACTGAATGGAATACTTTCTTTTTGGTGTTTCGGGTGGCATGAGTTGTAATGTAAGAAGAGGTGCGCATCTGTTGGTTTTGTGTATAGAGTTGTGTGGAGTTTTCCTTGGTTATTAACTACCGTTGTATCTAGGAAATCGACCTTTTCTGTACTTATGTGGCTTGTGAATTTTATACTAGGATGGAATTGGTTGAGGGCACTGATGAAGGAATCTAGATCCTTGCGTGTATGTGGCCATATGAAAAATATGTCGTCTATATATCTCCACCATACTAATGGTTTAAGTACTTGTGTTTTTAGGAATTCTCTCTCTAATTTGTCCATAAATATAATGGCGTATTCCGGAGCCATAATTGTTCCCATGCTTGTTCCCATAATTTGCATGTAGTATTTATTGCCGAATTTAAAACAATTTTTGGTTAAGATAAAGTGCATAAATCTAAGAAGTATCCAAGTTGCTGGTGAATTTTCTTGTCTGTTGTTCAGTATTTCTTTTGCTGCTAGTATTCCTTCTCTGTGTGGAATGGTTGTATACAGTGAGCTTACATCTGCCGTTACTAGAAGGCTGTTGGGTGGTATATCGCCTAGCGATTCGATTTTTTGTAGAAAATGTGTGGTATCTTTAATATACGACGGTATATCTTTGATGAAAGGTTTTAGATAATGGTCCACAACTTTTGACATATTTGCAGTAGGAGAGTTTATTTGTGAAATAATTGGTCTACCTGGATTTCCTGTTTTGTGAATTTTTGGGAGAAGGTAAAATAGTGGCGTTCGCCAGTGTTTTTGTAATAAGAATTCGTGTAGAGTTTGGGGTAGTTTGTGTTTTATATCGAGAATGAATTCTTTTATTTCTTTGGCGATTTTGGGGTTGAGATCTTTATTTACTTCCTCGTAAAAAGTAGTGTTAGAAAGTTGACGGTCTGCTTCTCGCATGTAATCTATGGTATCCATAATAACGATTGCTCCTCCTTTGTCTGCTGGTTTAAGTGTAATGGTCTGATCATTTTTTAATTCATTTAAGGCTCTAAATTGATTTCGGTTGAGGTTTTTTCTTATAAATCCTGTTTTCGGAATTTGTGAGATATCATCAGAAGTAAGGTTTAAAAATGTATCCAAATCTTTATTTCTTCCCGCTGGTGGTGTCCATCCTGTAGGTAATTTAAACGGGTTGGGAGTATATGTGCTTTCACTGGTATCGTTCTTTTTTTGAAAATGGTGTTTCAGGCGTATTCTTCTATTAAAAATTAGTGTATCTCTGAAAAGTTCTAACTCATTTAGTGGGCCTGGTGTTGGACAGAAACTTAATCCTTTTTGTAGCACTGAGTGTTGGGCATATGTTAATTGTTTTTTGCTCAAATTTATTACGGCACATGTATCCTTTTGTGGTTTATTCTTAATTTTCTTATAAATGTTGTGTTTAATGAATTTTCTGGTTCTCGGCATTTTCGGGGGTTGGGTGATTTATTGTTGCTTAGCTGGATTCGCGGGTCGTTTGCTAATTTCGTCTTCGACGGATAGCTTTGTTTTCTGTATTAAACTTGTTATGTGTTCCATTTCAGTGTCAGTTGTTTTGTCTTTTAATCTAATTTCCATAGTTGCAATTTGAGATGAAATTATTTCGCATCGGTTGTTCCAATATTTAATTAAAAGTTTCACTAATGTTCTGCCAAATTCTAGTTGTGCGTCTTCCCATTCGAAAAGGAATTCGGGAGTTGTATCGGGTACTTGGGGTTGTATATTTGATTTAAGTGTCTTGGGTACCATATCCCTTATTTCACATCGGGTTAAGTAAGCCTTATGCTGTTCACAACGGACCAATTTAACATTTAATTTACGGTAAGTTCTAAAAAGTGAAACATTCTTTTCTTGAATTCTGGTCGGGTTTATTCCTGTTTGAAAGGCTTCTTGTTCGATCCTTTTTCTTTTGTTTGCCTGGATGGTACTGGCACTTCTGGAAGGCTCCAATGGTGCCTCAACAAAATCTTCGTTATTTCCTTCGTTCAAAGACATAGCTGCGGGTGGCTGGGAAGGTCAGCGCTGCTGGCAACGGCGGTTCCAAAAGGAATGCAAGGGGTTCACGATAAAACAATAAACAATTACAAACGAAAGTGAACCAACGCCTGGTGAGTCTGTAGTGAGTTAGAGTCCCTGAAGTGGATACCTCGGGTATGCAGGGTCGTTATGATGAAACACAATAATGTAGAAAGTCTTATAACAACAACACTGGAGGGACTGCTGCAGAAAATTTATTGATCGACATGTTTCGGTGCCTAGGGCACCGTCATCAGGATACAAATAATACATTGAACATACTTAAGTGTACAATCGGGTTGTCTTGTGACAACGTCATAGTATAGTAGTTGTTATGAAAGGGAAGTAATAGTGAAAGTATAAATAGAAAATGTATATAAATAGATTGTCAACATGAAAATGAAAGTAAATTAAAATTATTTGTATATCAACTCTGTGTTATTATTGTCTCAGCTAAAAATGTTATAAATAGAATGTACAAACACATGTCTGTCCCATAGTTCTTCCGGTAGCTCATCTAAACATATGGTTTCATCACTGCTGCTTGTTGTCAGGTCTATGTAGTCTTCCTGAGTAAGGTCCATGACATAACCGTAATCGTTTGTTATGTATTGCGGAGTGTTATTTAAAGAAGAGTCGGAATCCGACAGGTACAGGTCTTGTTCCAAATCACTTGTTGAGGGTTTTTTCGGTTTTGAGGTGGATGATTGGTGATACTCATACGGTGATTTAGCTGGTATTGTCCTGAATGTAGGTGTTTTCCCGTTCCATTCTTTTTTCTGTACGGC